CAATAATCGTTTCACTTACATAAATACTAATATTATAAAGAGAGAAAGAGCAGATTTTATTATGAGAAAAGTAAAATAGTATAAAATTCTTCCACTGAAAGGTAGCAGTGGCATAAGCTATTCAATTTATTAATATACAAAACTCATAAACGCTAAACACCTGTGCGAGACCGGGGCGGGGTAGCTAAAAATGTTGTTGCCTGACTCGGTACTTTTGGGTGTGCATTTATAGTCAGACGGAACAAACGTTACTATGATATAAGGAAGACTTTGTGTGATGTATCTCATATTCTTTCGTAGATTGCAAGCACGAACGTCGTCCAGAGTTACCAGGTGACCGTCTTGCTTTCTCCCCAAAATTTGTACAAAACCCCCATATAAACAAATTCCATATTAGTAGTCCATATAGTAATCCAAGTAATTTTTTATTCAACGTATTGTACTACAGTTCTAGTCTTATTTGTATTTTTTTAAGTGTTTATGACGCTACCTTTTACCGGCCCAAGCCGCTACTTTTACTCCTTTAGCATACATGTGTGTATTCTTGTTTTTTTCTACATTGTATGTATATAATATATAAGTACTCTACCACTTGCCAGCTTCAACGCAAATCCTGGTATCGCCACAAACTCCTTCAAATTTGGGGTGAACGCCAAATTGGCATCACTGGTCACGCTAGTGTCCCGTTGCCGTCAAGCCTCGGCGAATGTGGTAGATTTATGACGTCGGGTAATAAATTAATGATATAAGTACAAGTAAGTAGTGAAATTACACGCCATGCGGCAGTGACGATGGTTCATAGTTTATGATCCCATTCGTGTTTTATAGCTGTTAAATTTTCTCGTAGCTTTTATGACTCGAAAGGTGTTTTAAGTTTACACCCCTGTAGAAAAGTTCCTTGTAAAATTATATTCTTGCTAGAAATAAGTTTTCAAAATTTAAAATTCACAGTATAAAGAACATAATTTAATAACCTGACTTAAAACATCATAAAGCTAATATGAATTTATCTTTCTAACAGACAGTTCTGTCATAAAAACTAAATTAATCTGAGAGACGGTAGGTCCATCCTCTGCCACGTAGAATTTAAACATTCCTAGCACAATAAGGGCATGTCATGAGTCGCGTTCACTACAACAAGCGACGTTGACAGTTAGCAATGACTCTACCTTATCAACAATAAGATACGTACATTTAATAGGTACTAAATAAATTTATTATTTATTTATGCTTTAATACTAAATCATACTGTATAAAAATAAATAGTAGTGTAATACTGGTGGAGCTCACTGTATCGTGGAATGAAAACAAATATTATAAACGAATTAACGAAAAATGGCTATGTGGTTATTTGATATGCGGTCGAAGTGGGAGCGCGAGGTATACAAGCGAAAACTCTTTACAATCTTATCTTAGCCTGTCTAGTACTGCAATAAGTCCTATACTAGAACGTGTATCCAATGCCCAATTTACACTCAACCCGAGTGGGCAGGGAAGCGAGCACGGCAGTGAGCAGCGCGAGAGTATAAACACGAGTGGAAACACTTCCCATGCCATTGGCGCTGCCCCTCGCGCTGCCCGGCGTTCACTCGCCGTTGTCTGTTCGCTTATCTTTTAGATTACGCGCCGATTTTTAAAATAGTGATCCAAGTGGAAGGTTATAAATCCAGAAATTCATATATATATATATATATCTCTCTCCCTTTTTACGGGGGTAATATATTCAAACACACGGGCCTTAGCCAAGCATGGATGAGTTATGTGATGAAGAAAGAAATTTTCTTACTATTCGGCATGTGTTTAGTATGACGGCTTTTTGTAATAGTTCTATTGTAGAGGAGGGGATATGCAACGTGTCTAGGTGTTTGTTCAGACTTTTTGGTATAATTCCTGTGGATGACAAAACTATGGGTACTATGTGGATCGTGTGTGCTTTCCATTGTTATTTTAATTATTATTATTCTTTTATATGTTTTATATATCTCCCTTTTTACGGGGGTAATACGTTCAAACACGCGAGCCTTAGTCTTATTATTATTATTATGTAGAAATTTGTAACGTTAATTAATAGGTATAGGTAGATGACATTATTTACTCACCAACTGGACCGCTTCAAACGTAACGTTCAATCTGCAAGGAAAATTCCATTTTGAAATTATGACACAGAAACACATTTTGCATTTGTAAAGTTTACAGGGAGATAAGGAAAACAATAAAGTTGCATTGAGATAGATTTGTTTATAGACTAGTTGTTTTGAATGTTAATAATATAAATAACTGGAAAGATATGAAGTATACGTCTTCTTGATTTAGAATCATAAATTTCACTAAATTACAATTGTTTAATATAATAACTGTCATATACAACATAGCAAGTGCCAATATTATGATTAAGGACAATTCACACAGCAACAACAAATCCCAAGCTAAGCAGAACTTGCTTTATGGGTACTACACAACTGATACAAATATTTAAATACTTTTTTTTATAAATACATTCAAACATCCAGAGATCCATCCAGACCTATACTAAAAGTCTTACAAATATGATCAAGTTTATGGTACAATGAATCGAACTCTCTGCCATTGAATGAAAGGGAATTTGCTAAAAGCTAGACTAGCAAGGTTGTATATAGATGATGGTTACCACTTGCTATCAAGTGGGCAGTTGGCTAGTTTACCGTTCCAAATAAAAAAAGGTGTTTCCTGTAAATGTTCAATATTTAATTCAATAACAATATTTGTATGTTTCAAACACTGTACTGCAGTGCCCTTTTTTATTTTTAGAAGTTTAGGCAATTGCCAGGTACTTTGTACCTGTAGCTCTGTGGCATAATTGAAGGATATTCTTAGGAGCAATGGTTTTTAACTCTTCTGTATATAGAATATACTTTCCAAAGGAGATTTCATTTATGCATGCATGGGCTACAATCACATAGGATATGTAGTGGCATTTCCTCTTCAGCTTGGCTGAATCTGAAGATTTTTGTGTAGCACAGGACATTTTCCGCATGTTTCATCCAGTGGAAATAGCTCAGTGTGATTTCTGCTTAGGGAGCAAATATCAATACAATCACAATTTCTTCATATATACTCAGCACTCATACCTATTATAAAAAAACAATGTCATTATGTACTGTTTTAACTATTTAAAAAAACACTTGGTCAATTGTACATGAAATTTAAATACTTTATAAAAACAATGTGAGTCTTGGTCAATTGTACATGAAAACTTCAAAATTACTTTAGGTTTAAGAAAGTGCTTCAGTTTTATGAGTATTCCACATACAAGCTTTACATCTGATCCTGTATATAATTCACAGAATTTTTTGTAACAAAATATTATCATATCAGATTGATAAAAAAATTTACATTGAGATAAAACAAGATAAAATATAAACAATCATTCAGACTAGGGCACAAAGTCATACCTAGCTTATACCTATTTCTTAGAATATATTATCTTGACAAAAACTTATCTGACAAAATTTAAAAAAAATCTATTAATGAGATATGTAATTTTTTTGTTATGACTACAGAGACACTGCTTTAGTTGTGGGCACTGCTGTAGATAGCTGTATGCACCAATTGCAAAGCATAATGATTAGGGCTGTTTCTTAAATGAAACCATTATGAATCTGATACTGTCTTTTAGTTTCGACTACTTTAAATAATTTACAGCGGCAATTGATCAATAATAGTAAAAGTTACGGTACAAATTTATTTACTAACATGATATAAAAAAATATTATGAAGTATAGAAACATGTTAATAATGAATGATTCTAAATGCACTTCACGTAGCTTCAACAATTACTGATCATTACTGATGTCATTTTAGCGGGCTGAGAGTAATTGGAACTGATTGAATCGCGCACTTGCCAAATTGCACAAAACCGGTTAACGAACGCTACTTTTCAGACCGCAAAAACAGATAAATAATAGAGTAAATAGAATTTACAATTAGATATTTACTATATAGATTTTTTTATACTGGGCTTTTAAAAACAGACGAATATTTAAATTATAGATGCAGAACAACACGGTAAATAGAGTACTGTATACATAACACTATGCTCTACAATTAAACTAATTCTATGATAGAAATGAAGTTTTATTAAGTACCTCTGATAATTCTGCACTTTATATCCACTATATTATGTTAATAAACACAGTTTTGATGTAAATAATTTATTTGTGTAAATAACACTATAGGGGAAACAGAATTTGACAGATCAGCTAATTGAACTGAAATGTTGCCATTTTATTCCCATTTCTTATTATATTCATATTCAAAATGTTTTGCGAATATATATATGTAGCAAACATTTAATAGTTACAATTTCAAACTGTGCATCTTAATTGGAATTTAAAAATATGAAATGCCAAATAGATTTTTGTATTTATAAGCTGGGACGTATTAAGAAACTTTAACTTTGTAGTGGTGAGGTGATTGATACCGATCACGTTACAACATCATTATTGTATTATATCACAAATTGGCAACACATGAGTGTTAGTACAATGTCACATAAAAACTTTCGTGATTCTGTTCATGTACCATATGTTACCACTTCACATTAGGTAAGTTATTGACTTTTTTTGCTATTCCAATTACATAAATCTATCACTAGATTCTTAGCTTAATTTGATTACTTTAGTGTTTTCTCTTAAGGTGACAGCGCCTATCGTTAGTCCGTACCTAAAAGGTAGTTGTTATGAACTAAAACAATTAATATTTGAAATTTGATAAATAGTAGGCAAGCAAAGTAACAGTGATAGGGTACACAAATAAATAACACAAAACTGGTAATTAAAAATATACCTACTACCTACCTACCTACCAAAATAGAGAAAATATATAGTGTAATAAGTCTGAGGTGTCAACAGTGTAAAGTTAATTGCTCTGTGGACGCTGACATATTGCTGTTATTTACGTACATATGTCATTTATACGTCACATGTACTCTGTACTGTGCTGTTTTGTACTTCTGTGTCTTCTGTAGTTTCTGATGTCACTCACTGTTTGTCTTTTACGGTATACGTAAATACAATTCAGTGTTATTTTATTAGAAATTTATAATTTACTTATAACTTTTACGTTCAATCTGAAAACGCGTAATTATTTGGCTTTGATGTAATATTTATTAATTAATTGTCACATTTATTAACCTATTTGTATTTTACTAAGTCATTTTATCAATCATAGTTGTGCAACGTAAAAATGAGTGAACCTGCGAAACAGTTCGACCTAAACTCTGAACCCAGTTTATCGAACGCAGCGATTGCGCCTAATGGAGTAGGCATTCCATCATTTAGGAACCCCGTACCACCACCTTCTGTGAGCCAAAATGTGGGACCACCCGTCTTACCACCTAGACCTGACATGGCGTTGCAACCTAGTTACGGAATGACTCCAAGTTATGGGATGAATTCCTTTGGTGGCATGGGTGGTTCATATGGCTTGGGAGGTTCTTATGGTATGGGAGGATATGGAGGAAGCTACGGATATGGTGGTTATGGAGGAGGTTATGGAATGGGAGGGATGGGGTCCATTGGAGGCATGGGATATGGTGGATACAACAGATATGGTGGCATGTATGGAGATATGGAAAACAGGTAAGACTATTCACTAAGCGACTTCTATGTTGATTATCGCATGCCTTTTACTTGTTATACTGTAATTATTTATATAAAAAAACATCTATTAAAAAGAGCAACACACAAGTTTCTTGCTCATTCTTCTTGTGATGAATCTGCATTCCAAATGAGTGGTAGAATCAAAATATGACTATTCAAAAGTGCTTGTAATGAGTTTATTTGAATAAAGATTATTTCAATTTCTATTTCAAGCCATAAAGTTATTAGTGTTTAATCTCTATTGACTACATTATTTAGCAATAAAATATATAAACTACATAAACTGCACTCCTACTACTACATAGTATATAATTCAGCAGGAATTTATCAACAAAACAAAAAATATCATGGTACATTAGTCACACAGGGTCCCCTTCCCCCAATAAATAGTATTTATCTAACCATCCCTGAAATGATTAATATTTTTTTATATGCATCATCCCAGGTATCAATTTACAGGTTTGTTACTGACTTATAAACTAATTATTTATTATTTACATACATATATATTTTACTACTTATATTTAGTACCTTATCCTATTTTCTTATATTTTACTTTTTTATTATTGACTATATTACAGTATGTATTCTTATAATACAACTTAATATAGTTCCCTCTGTATCATTATTTTAGGGTACTCTGTGAATTTTCCTCTTTGGTACTGATTTGCTACTATTTATTCATAATTGTCCTCGTTCACGACAATTAATGTATAATCATTCAATCCTGATGAATTAGCCATGGCATGGTAACTGACACATCTTCAGTGCAAGACAGAGTGCAGTGTCAGTTCAGTGTAGGATGAAGTTAAGTAATTTATCCTCCACTGAACAATATTAATATTAGTACATGATTTCAATATGGTCTGATACTTGATGTGAATCATCCATGCTACCATAAAATAAATAAGGACACAGATTTACTAGCTATTGTTGTAAACAGTCCTATGACTAATTTGATACAAAATGTTATCAGGTTCTATGTTTCTGATAAGTTGTGATTACATTAATTTATCTAAGTACTCAGGTGTTTATATTTAAAATGTAATGAAGTATTATATACTATATCTTCATGTGATATTCCTTACAAGGTACACAGAGAGTACCTAACTCTGTACACATGCAATTTTTGCTTTATCCACATTCTAGTTCATGTTTAGAAATTATAAAAGCTAGTAGATATATGAATATATGCTGGTCTTGAACTTATGTTTATTTAGGTATTTGGATATCAACTAATTTACAGCTTTAGTGTATATAGAACTCTTTATAACCAGAATGATGTATTATTTGTGCCTATCTTCACCCAAGGTTATTGATGGGGTAGGCATAATTCTATTCCGTCAACAAACAACATGACCATTTTCATTTTTACACAGTGTTCACATTAATCTACTTATGTATTTATATATTTTGATGGATATATTTGTATATTTTGATGGAATGGTAACTCCGCTTTTCCTAATTAATTATTCTGTACCAGTGAAGTATGAAATCAGGTTAAGTGACCTGTCCATTATGACCAATTTACCAGGAATTCATCAAAATTGTTTCTATGGGCGTGTAAAGGTTGACCTAGTAGTGAATATTACGGACAATGAACTAAGAATGCCCATTGCTTGCTAGTTAATTTAATTAAATTTTATTAAACTACCAGAGCTAGTATTTGTATTAAAGAGCTCTTTTCATGAATAGCTGTTTCACAAATTTCAGCCAAGCATTGTAAGCTGAATTCCGGTTGTAGGGTGAGGTATGGCATGAAATTACAGGGCAGTCTTCTGGATTAGCAATGTACCAGGGCGTAACATTCAATGTGCTATTTATATTTTGAGGTGTAGGTTTCCACTTACCACTAGGTGGATCATCAGCTTTTTTTTTAATGGATGATAATGTATTTGTACAGCCGCCTGCGCTAACGGTTTACGCTGGCGGGGCATCAGTGGGGGATAATAGGATGATCATGAAGTCAGATCAGTTAGCCCAACGTGACAAATTCAGCTTATTACAGGCAGCCTGTCGCGTACAAGCAGCAACAAAACGCAACACAAAAGGAGCGTTCTGATTGATATATATGTATATATCAACGATGGTTTCAGGGGGTATTACGTAAGCAGATTTATCATTAGTCCACATGTCAGCAAAAGTAACAATCCCCATACCCCCTCCCCCCCCCCCGGCAGTAAACATCTCTATTACAGGCATTGTTTTTTTTGTCGCGTACAAGCAGCAACAAAACGCAACACAGAAGGAGCGTTCTGATTGGAGCGCACACCCATCCAATTTAAATATGCAACGTAATGTAACAGACTCAAAATATCAACCGATCGATCTAACGTACTTTGTTCACTCCACCAAAATAGTAATTTATCACAGTATTTACCAATTAAATTCAAGAAATCAAGCGAATTCTATCATTTTCTACAACCCGTAATCTGCTGAAGCCAACATCACCTACCATCTGAGCCATTACAGTTACATAAAAAATCCGTTCAACAACCATTTTCCAAACAGCTTTACAAATGTTAATATCATTAACGGGATAGTAAATACTTACATTTTAACAAAACAGAAATTGTATATACACTTAATCAAGTAAATATGTACATTATCATTCATAGATCATAGGTCGCGCTTACACAAACTTGCGTGCCTAATTAACTTACGATACATTTGTCTGCATAAATTAAAATTTATTTTCGGGTATTTCTTGTTCCTGATTTAATAAAAAAATGCACGTTTTTTTTATTTTATATAAATAATAAATAACCGCTGGGCATTTAACACAGCGCCATCTAGTCACGCAGTAAGCTTAACTTACTGGAAAACCTATATAAAGACTTACATGATATTTTTTTATAAATACATAGAAAACACCCAGAACGACACAATCATTCTCATGAGTACCAATGTTTGTACCGTGCGAAGAATCGAACCTGCGACCATCGGAATAACGGTATGCTAAACCGCTAATATTTGCAATGAAGCTGACGAACCACCTGATGATGGAAAGCTATTACCGTCGTCTATATATATGAACAGCACACGACACGACATCACGTTATGTGACGCCCGTTATACCGCTTAAGTATTGCCGTCCTAGAGCAGTAAAATCTCCGATAACATCCGATCTTATCCTGTAACATCACTGCTGAATCTGCAGCCTACGACCGAGGTATAGCTTACAAATCATTGTACTTGGTGGCTGAAATAGGTGAGATTGAAGTACATACGCAGACGAGTTTTTACTATCTACATAATAAAAAAAGTTAAAATCGTACTACCTTTCTACTGCTATATGATTAGTGTCATCATTGTATATATATCTTTGTAGTATTTATTGTTTGATTTAGTATATATTTATGTTGTTTATTATATATTTATTATAAATGTAATTTTGTTTAGGTATTCAAGTACATATATATATATTAATATTTTGTATCTTTATGTATATTGTATTAGTATGTGTGTTTTGGACATTATATTTTTATGTTTAGTTTTAATTATTTATGACATTTTTATTAAATTATTATTTGCACATTTTGACCCACTCAACACTTCCTATGCCACGCTCTATTGGGTTGACTGGAAGAGATCTCTTTTAGAGATAAGTCCTCCTTTGTTAACATTAGTTGTAATTAATATACTTACAAATGTATTTAAATACAATAAAGAATATTTAATAAATATTATATTAGGGCTGCGTTATTCGCTGATGTTCTGTGTGTGTAATACATATTTAGTGTTTGTATCATTATGTTGTTATTAAATATATATATATATATACTACAAATGGTTTTTTTTTCAGATTCATCCAAATGGCAGAAGAGAATTCAAGGCCGGCATTTGATTCCATACAAAGCTTTGTAAACGCTGTAGGCAGTGTTGCAATGATGTTGGAAAACACGTTTTTCGCACTAACAAGCTCCTTCAGGGCAATATTGGGTATGTATCATTGCAAACATATACATACACATCACGACTATCTTTCCGGATTCGATAGTCAGATAGCATTGTAAACTGTCGATTTCACTGAATATATCTAGTTAGTCTGATCCCCTGTCGCGTGGATTAAAATAAACCCAATGGTCCCTAAGAGTTTTAAATACGCCATAGAGTTGTTAATTATTTATTTAATATAATAACAGATGGCGATGTATATTGTTTTTTAATATTTATATTTGTTTATTTATACTATTATTATAATATTTGAATAAACGTGGCAGGAGGCAACATTTCCGCAGTCACTCGGATATTTCATTCTTCATTTAAGTTCGAGTAATTAAGAACAGTACATGATGAATTTTTGCTAAAAAAATAGTGGAAAAATGTATATTCCCTCTAAATTTGTATTTTCCGTGAGTAATTAAAAATATGCCATTTTTTATTATTACCTAATAAAATACTGGATGACGATGTATAAATGATTGACTCGTTTTAGTTGTTTTGTAACTCACCAGAACTACTGGTTTGTCACCACTTACACACTTTATAAATTTTGTATGTTCACAGGTGTTGCAGAAAACTTTGGCAGACTGAGGTCGTTATTTGCCCAATTCTGGTCCACATTCGCAGTAGTACGGTCCCTGAATTGGCTAGTCAGGAAACTTATGGTCATCTTAGGAATTAGGACAGAAAATGAATTTAAGGTATGCATTTTATCAGCTGTTTTCTATTTATGTGTATGTTTACTGAGATGAATTTAAGTAGTTCTACAAACTAAGACTTATTTTGCGGAAGTCTATTTATTTATATTGTTTTATTTTATTTTGCTATCATTTGCATGTGTTACACCACAAATATTCACTGCGGAAACCTGACCACTGCTAGTAAAAGTGCTACTTTAATAATAATAATAAATTTCAGACTACTATTAAGTCAACAGACATTTAAGACACGTGATTCGCCTCTAAACGAGGTATAATTAGGCAATTAATAAAGCTTGGATATAGCTTAGTTAGTAACTGTCATGTTCAGAGATCAAACTAAATTGGACTTCCAACTATATGAAATAAAATTAAATCAATCCATAATTGAAATGACACCTAACGAAATATAACAAAGTTGATAGTCGGTTGAGAAATAAAAAATGTAAAATGAAATTTATATTAAAACAATATATATATCAAAATTTATTGTCGACGTTTATAAGTATACTGTGCTAAATGCCCTTTGTTGGAATTGTTATTTATATTATTAGATAAGAAGTTATCAACGCTCGCTCCGTCATATCTAGAGCCATGAACGGTACAAAGAAGAGTACCTGCATTGTTGATATAGATATTACTACGCAAGTGAGTTTAATTTATCTGAGAAGATGTCATATAAAGTTTTAGATATAGCACATAGTGGAAATTCATTATTTAAGAGATTGTTGTTGATCAGATATAAAGCAATTGGTCAATTTAGAAATCTATTCATACAATTTAAAAGATATATTCTAACAAGTCAAATCAATTTGAATTATTGTATACGTTCATGACTATTGATAACAATAGTCATAATGATTCTTTATGACTATTATTATCAATACTAAAAATATATTAGTATACTGAACTGGATGGTAAGGAAAAATTATTAATAGAAAAAAAATCTACATTCATAAGCGATTAAAAGGTCGTACATAAATTTATATAGATTTTTTATTTGATTTGATAGGGACATCACCACATCATGTGACGCTCCTAATACATTTCCATTTCGGAGGACAAGGGTGTCAAGTCTCCGTTCATTGTAATTTGAATGCATAATCTCATCCTTAGGCGATACATTTTATAAGCGAAACTGAACGCAAGCGACTTTGTATAAAATCTACCTAGGTATAACAATATATGTATAGTAATAATTAACGTTACTACCGTACAGATTATTATTATACTATCTACTTATCCATAATCCATAATATTAAATAAATAGGATTATCACTCATTTCATCCCTTTGTTGATAATTAAAGAGAGATCCTTATTTATCATTAAAATAAAGATGAAACTCCAATCACAGAAGGTTAAATTTTGAGTTATGAGGGGGTCAAAAGTGGCTCCAAATGGTTCGTGTAAATATACACACGGTGCTGCTCGCCAGTTCTCTTACTTGAAACTCGGCTTGACACGCTACCGCGTGTCTAGATTATGTCGTGTTGCTAATTTAAGAATATATTGTTTATTTCCTTAAATTTTTCTAGGCATGGGCACAAGCGGTGGCTGCGACCCAGTCTGGAGTCGCCAGCCCTGAACAGCGCGCGCGCGGCTCCAGCTGGCCGATCCTGATGTTCTTCGGTGTTGTTGCCGCAGCACCTTATATTGTACTCAAAATGATGAGCGGACTCTCCAACAGCATTAACGAAAGACGTAAATATCTATAATAATTTATAATATAACTAGATGATACTTGTGAACTTGTCGGGTTTATTATATACTGCTGCACTAAAAAAATTTGCTGTGTCAGCAATTTTTTTTTGCGATATAAATTAAAATCGCTATTAAAAATAGGGGTTGGTGATAGAAGGCTGAAAATTTAGGGTTCTATGTATTTTTAATGCCACTATATGAAAAAAAAGAAATTGTCCAGTAAATAAAAATTAAATTTTAGCCTTATCATTTAGGAGTATGAAAAATAGATAGTAGCCGATTCTCATACCTACTGAATATACATATAAAATTTCATAAAAATCGGTCAAGCCATTTTGGCAGAGTATAGTAATTGTGACACGAGAATTTGATATAGATATGTATAAGATAAGATAAGATAAAAAATTGCTAATGTCCTTTATTGTGATACAACAAGCTGTGGTCATTATTTAAATTATTAACCGGGTCTTAACATGAATAATTTTATGGCAAATAAAGGTATTTACCTCTCTCGACGTTTCGACTAGGTTGCACTAGCCATGGTCACGAGCGGACATTAGCTATATAATATAAATATTAAATAAAAACATAAAATTATTCGTGTTAAGACCCGGTTAATAGTTTAAATAATGTATATTAAACACGAAAGTTTAAAAGCTGTGGTCAGTCAAATTTAATTAATTACATTAAGTATGTAACTAATAATAATTTTTATAATTTAGGCTCTTACTTACCACCACTTTGTCTGCTTTTATAAGAAAATTATTTAAATTGAGATGATATTATTATTCTGTACTGTCTCGAAATTAATATAACTAGTTAAGTAATAAATTGCTTAGCTTTTTTTAGTTTTTGCAGATAAAACCTATTTAAATAAGTAATGATTTGAAATTAATATGTAATATTTAATGTTTCAGTAAACGATCCAACGACCTGGCAGAACCCACTGCGCGCTGTCGCTCAGCACGACTTCCAAGCCACCTCCCCCCAGGAGATCAACTTCACAGCAAACCAGGTTCTAAACCTCGCTCCCCAGCACCTCCAAGGTCACCTTTGGAATTCCGGCTGGTTAATGGCATCAACAGACAAACAGCACGCTGGTATGGTACCCGTGAACTATATCAAGGTCATAAAACCAACGAACCCTAACGAAGATAATCAAAATGTCACGACAAATGAATCAAAAGAGAAAACAGTGGAACCAACTTTCAATGAATTAGACAAATTTTATGGAAATGAATTATAAAAATAGTTTTTTTAAATTAATTATTATAATTAAGATGAAGTTACGGTTATATTAATTGTAGGGACTGTATAAAATTAGTCAAACTTTATTTTAGACTGGTGGTATCTGATATACGGGAATAAATAAGCTAGCTTAGTTTTGACATTTTTATATATGCTTAATAATATACTGCATTAACTCAAAAATTACGTTTGCATTGAAAAATCTTCTCCAGCGACTTTACTTTAACGTCCATTTCTTAAATTTGAAATTTTTGAGTCATTTCGTGTCGATATCTTATTATTTTTTAATTCTTCACTGATAGAGAAATTTAAAAAATCTGGTCAATTTATTTATATAATTTTAATCCACACAATACAAAAGGTAATAAATACATTCGACGAACTTAAAATCATACAACATTTTGCTAGTTTCTGCTACCCAACTATAATGTATGCAGATAATACGTCGCGACCTTATTAATAAACTACATTAATTAATTAGACGAGAAAACGACTTTAATGATGTAACTATAAAGTCGAAATCCCAAAAACATACTTGAGTTAATGCATTGTTTTACATATTTGAGTTAATGCAGTTGTAATTGAGAGTTGCTAGCGGTTAAAATAAATTATGTTATTCGACGCGCTACTAAATGTTATTGGGCTAATCGTAATTATAGTGTAAATAAAAATAATAAAACAGCCATATTTATATATTAAAAATAAATTGTATTTTATACAAACTGCTCGATATAAGTTGGCCCTTCAACTATATACGAGTAGGTTATAATGAATGAACGCCTTTGAATATAAAGGACAGTCCTCGGTGTACATTAGTGTCCTTTGAAATACAGTGGGTATATGAAGTTGCATGAATTGTAGGGATTATTTGAATAGGCCCACTTTATAAAATTCAATGCTGAATTTTGATTGGCGCATTTCCATAGAGGGCGGGGCGTGGCAACATTGCGCCAATCAAACGACTCTTACTAAAAAATCCAGTGGTAAACTGTAAAAAGTCGTCTGCATGAGTAACTTATTCCCACTTATTTCCGTCAAGCATCTTGCTTTGTAAGCTGTTTGTAATATGGTACGATTTGACAGTGTATATGCCCTAACTGTACTCACATTGTAGTAAGCATGACATCTTAGTCTACAGAAATTGCAACGCATGAGTAACAGGATGTCGTGAGCTGTTCATGTGTAAACGACAGTTACCACTACACATCAGATGGGACGTTGTAGGGTGTTGATTATGCAGTGAAATTACAGGATATAGAGAGAACAGTTTAGTTAAGATGTTATGCCTCATGGATTATGTTTAAGTGTCCGTAGTGCTGTACATTTGTATAGGCGACAGTTTTTGTTTACCTACCATCAGTTGGACATTCAGTTTCGTTGCCATTCCAATTAAAAAAATTCGTAATGTAACTTTTATTATATATATAATAATATAGTATTATGTTATATGTTAGTATAATAATTAAATTAAATATGCGGGTGTATCGCAGCAGGTTCCAGCGAGTTGAATACCTACATGTTTTTGTAACCGCGTTTACAAATGAAATTGATAGTTTCAGTGGTGTTAAAGGGCCAACTTACATCACGTCAGCAAAGTTGTCTGTAAATGTAGTAACTGCTAGTGTCTGTACCTGATTGCGCTCGTGCTGTTTATTATTTTTATATTGTCTATAACCTTAGATTGCCCATACCATTACCGATTATATTTCACTAAAGCGGCCTTCACACTGCACTAATTATAATTATCGTAGCAATGCTAGATAGATAGATTTAGGGCATTCAGGATTGCTTTCTAGATCGCCTCCTTTGTAGCGAAATCAAGAACGATTTTACGTTAGTGTGCTCGCCGATTGATATGACTCACTGCTCCAATGTTGCACCTGATATTAATATCGTGTGTAGGCTGTAAGTAGTCATGAAGTCAATAAATTCTTATTTAATTATATTTGAAATTAATATAATAATAAAAAAAGCAATGTCAATTATTTGTAGATAAAAATGACCATGTTTTATTAATGTATATATATTTTATTGTAAATAATTTTATTTTTACACCCACATACTTGCATTTTTATTGACTGATTTAGCTATGTTCTGTTTAGTGTTATTTCTTTCACGAAGACTACTGTAATTAATGTGTAAGAATTATTCTGCACATATTTTATGCATTTCTTGCCCTTTCAATTTTCAATTCATCACAATTATCCACAAATCGTAATAGATATACGTAGTAAATAAAACTCGGAACTTTATTTAGACGGTAATATATTTTGTTACGTATAAAATTGACCTCAAACTATTATTTTCGTCAAAAATAGGCCAGATACAGACAAAACTAAACTTTTCTTACTAAATCGATGATGTGGCCGCACAGTTTATATAAAAGGAAGAAAAATATTTTCAGTTTTCTCCAAAGTTTTTTGGCGAAGAATTAATTACTTTCATTAATAATATCCCTACAGGCTTTCAGATTGTACCTTTACTGCGTATGACCATTATTTTTTTTATACGGCGGTTAGTTTAGTATATACGTAGTTCATATCGAGGAAGCAATATTGTGAAAATTGTTATTACTATTCAGTGATTTATGCATGTATAAAACCCTAATTGCAGTTATATATATTTGGAACTTGTGGATATTTGTATGATAATTACGAACAATGGGATGGACTGATTTGTTACAATCAATAAATTAGCTTTAATATATATTGGTGTTTGTTATTTATTCCTATACAAAACACGTAAAGTATTTCTAAGTAAATAATTTGTCGGTAATAAACTGTAAAATCGGGATATCGACTTTACCGTTTTAATCTTATAGTCGACTTTAAAAATCTTATTTTGAATTAATATCGTCATTTATTGCCAAATGTAATATATTTAGCATCTAATTGTTGTTCTATAAAATTAATGGGAGTCCTATAGTTCCTCTAGCAGAAGAGAAAATTATCTTTATTTATTCATGAACAATGTACATCGTATTTGAATATTGACATAATATAATGTATATATTTTCTATCTAAACGCAGTTGAACTAGTGGTCCATTTTTTATGTAATTTTCGGCGGTTTTGGCCAACCATTTCATGATGAGTGATATCACCTACGGACAATAATATAAAGTTTTAACGACAGCGGACTAATTTTCAAGCCAAGTTTAATAATAGTTATCCTGGACGATTCGCCCAGTGCTATCTAGTTTTAAGCTAAGCAGAGTTCGTGTAAAAGTTACTAAGTAACTGATAGAAATACTTACATATCATAGATACATCTAAAAATCTATGTATATTATATAGAAAATACCCAAATCTATAAAAACATTCATACTCATGAATAAAAATGTTTGCATCGTTCGGGTATCAAAACTGCATAAATAAAAAAATAAAATATAGAATTATAGATTTTTATGGGTTTATTTTATTGTAAAGTCATAGTCTAATTTACAAGTAGGGTTCGGGGAACTCGAAGGTGACTTCGCGTCCTGTTAGCTTCTTGTATACAGACTGGAAAGTGTCCACCTGAAATAAGAAATTGATATTAATATTTGTTCCAGCATTCCTTCCATTTCTGAGCTAGCAATTGAAACGGTAACTGTCTGCAACTATTACAACTAATTACTAGCTACAAGAGAGAACAATGTTGTTTTATTTTATCTGAAATACCTAGTTTATTTGTCTTAGTTAATCTCTTAATAATAATGAAATATTAATTAATTAATATACAAAAATACTTAGATACATAAACTACATAAATGTAAGTAGATATAATAATAAGGCTAGCTATTCATTATTTATTATTATATCTACTTAAATTTTATTATTATTTTTGTACATTATACTAGGATCAGTGTCTCACACACGACACCATCAAAGTTTCCAAGCACATGTTTTTCATATGACTGCAATGGCAAGTAAGCTGACGTAAAGTGGCAATTGTTGTCTATATACATTCTCAGAACCGATTTCATGTTTTCCATGCCATTCTGTAAGTCCAAACTTCCATACCATGTAATTTCACTCGTAAATGGCTTTAGACATAATACAAAGATACAACAAATCTTCACAGGATTTAATCTCTGACAACTAGCAATATCAATGGCTGGATGGAAATCATGTACATATCCAATGTATTAAGAAAAAAATTAGAAATACATAAATAGGTGTCATATATTATACTTGTGGGTACTTTGATAATATCCAGTCTGGTTTTCTATCAGGTGAGTGAACATAGAGAACATGTCTCCCAAATTTAGTGTCCCTTGATATGTATACTACAAGAAGTCTTATAAAAGGTGTAATAATATAGTTTATTTCTAATATTTTAAAAGAATATGTACCTTGTGTTCAATGGTGGTTTGTTGGTTTTTGTCCAAATGCACTTTGATGAGTTGTGAGCCGTCCAGCTTGACCCTGATGCGCTTGCCAACAATTTCAGCGGGGAACACTAAGTCTTCGAGGATAGCATCATACACTGAGGTCAGTGTCCTGAAAAAATCGTTAATATGTGAAAATATGTCTGCCAATGTGTTCTCTTTTTAGTATATTGCATAACAGTTTAGGTTCCAAGCTTTAAAAATCGTTACATAGTTCTTAAGATAGTTTTGGCTACTCCTATGATGAATAATCTAAATTTGTAATTCCCACCAGACTCCCTCATTTTAATATTAATTGTTTATGTATGTCCACTTAATAATGAAACCTACTAATAATTGTTTGTTGTCCCTGAGGTGATGTTTTGTCTTTAACTACGATATATGGACCCGGAATTTGTCAAACTTTAATGATCAAATTGAAATAAATCACAGCTACAAAATTCCACTGGTCTCTCAAACCATGATGTTGACAAAATCACCACTCAAATTTGGTAGCAGCCATTTAAAATAAAGAAGAAGCTACTTTATGACATGCACTTTAATATTACTACTATTATTAACTGTAGCATTCAGTTCAGCTGGCTGCTACAGTCGAGAAGAATTGACAAGAAACTTTATTATCCATATTAATATTTTAAATTTTATTTTCATTAGAGCACTAAAGTTTCTTTGGTTAAACACACTGATCTCAGAAAGTATTGGTTTAAATTACAAAATTACTACTGTTGGTCAGACCATAGACAAAGTTGCATATGACAGTTATTAAATATAAATATTTAATAACTAACTGTCACATGGGACTTTAACATATCATCACAACTGTTATCTCAGATGGTATAATCAAAGCCATTGGCGACTATCAACATTGTGGTGAACTCAACAGTTTAAATAAAACCGACATTTTACTATCCAACATGTCAGGAGGCTAGCCTACATATTACATTTTCCTCTAAGAATGTTGTTTCTTTCACAAGCTAGTCATTCAGATTTAAACTCACAACCACTTCGGCTCAGTTAAAGGTAGTAAACTACTTGGCTACAACCTATAACACTTTTTTTTTTAATTTAAATAATGTAGTTCAACATACCTGGAGCGCGGCCTCTTTTGTTTGTTAGCGACGCGCGTCTTGTGGCTGGGCTTGGGGAGAATTTTCCGGTCACCAATGAAAACAACGTGTTTACCACTGAACTTCTTCTCCAATTCCCTGACCAGTCTGATCTGAATCTTCTGGAACGCCTTCAACTTGGGCATGGGCACATAAATGATGATTGACTGGAAAACAGAAGAAACCAAAAATGAACATAAAGAAAATCTATTATTTCATGTACATACATATATGGTCTAGATGGGGTCTAGGTATTTTCTCTGTATATCATGCATTTATATATAAGCTATAAGGACATCCAAATTTAAATATTTTGAATAACAAACTTAATAGATTGTTGCTAGAAATCAAGAATACTTGCCTATGCCCAGAACAATTGAAATAATACTCATAAATAATAAGGATAATACCATGTCCCAATATGAATTTATGGGTAACTAGTTTTATTACAGTTTATCTGTATTATATTATACAAACTGTTAAGAATTGTTAATTTTTAGTACTAAGAAGGTAACAAACATATACACACTTTCATTTTTATCTAGCATTGCGGGAATTTTAATATTTTTCTAATTAAAATAGTTTAGCTTATTATAAACAATGAAGATAAAAACTGGGGCAACAAGTTATTTGATACAGCATATGATATATAAATGCCTGAGGTGTTAATAGTATGTTAAAAAGAGGTTTAAAATTTAAGTTCAAACAACTGAACATGGAACTTTTTTGATCTGTGGTTCAGACTGACTGACAGCAGATAAAGTATGTTTAAACATTTGAAAAGAGAATGTATTTGGCATATTATCTTCATGTTGAATGTTTGTAATGTTTTAATTTATGAATTAGTGTGCTTTTACAATATTAATTTTGGTTTGTAGTTATATTTAGTTCATCCGTTAATCTGTGTTATTTATTTCAATAGAATTGCTACTTTGCTAACATTACAAGTTCTAAGATGACTTCCCTCACAGTTTAGACAAAATTATTTTATATATTATCTGTACAAGAATAAGTATGGGTTATTAAGTCTATATTGTACATATTATTGCTTGGGATTGTACACAACAAGTGCCTATAAAAACTATCATTGAAAAATTACCTACTAGATTATAGTAAGTCTCCTTTCTTAAAAGCATTGTTGAAGCATGAGTTAACTGTCTAGATAATAACTTGAAACATACCTTCTTATTGTGCAGTTCAATTTCTTTAGCTTTTGTAATGTACAGCTCCCTCAGCTGCGCCTTCAGGTCAGAGTTGGTTTCCAACTCGACCAGCGCCTGCGAGATCGAAGTCTCGAAAACATCGGGTTCACCGGCGCTTGCCTTGATAATTTTCGTACTCATCTGAAATTCACCAACACTTTTATTTTCAGCAGAACTTTAAAGTAGAGGTTAGGAATGTTAACTGTAATTTAGTATGAGAATTTAAACAGTAGCACTCGAATACACTAATTATATATGTTATCTATGATGTTATTATCACACACAAGTAGGTAATATATAATTGTAATTTCTATTTCACTTTCGGCAACAAAAACAACGTTGGTGTCAGACGGAGGAAGTGTCACCCGAAATAATCTTTAAGATCAGTACCGTAAATAATTATCTATTGGCATATATATGGTGCTGGTTAATATGTGAAACAAATTGAGGCAATATTTATGTAATAAAATTAATAATTTCATAAAATTTCACTAAAAATCAACAATGACAACTACCTTGAATACTTGAGGGGAGGGAAAGAGATAGAAGATCAGTGTGCTAAGCCTTTAAATTTTTAGTACCAGATAAAAATAAAAATATTTTTTAATTTTTAAAATACATTTGGATTTATTATACTGGTAAATTACAAAACAGTTGTAATATTTTAATTTGTTAGTCAATATTTTTACATGTGTATTAAAAGAAGTATGTATATTTATAATCAGCCCATACAATATTTTCAAATAAGAAATAAGAATTTTTCATGTAATTTACAAATAAGTTAATACTGAAAACATTATTTTTAGACTTGTTAACTACAATTACAGTAAGTTAGGTACATATCATGACTACTTACTTAAGTATACTTATTAGCACTTCTTAAAAAATTAGACAATAAAATGTGAAGAATTAAAAAATGTGGCAAATTTACCCCACAGCATTCAGAATTTAGTTAATAGTAACATTCCCTATGTATACGTTCAAAAATTAATTTAAATCATATAATTCCTCCATTGTTAATTATTTTGGTAATTTTATCGGTATTAAAGTAATTATATTATTAGTATTAATTTTAATATTGAACAATTAAATTAATTTTATATTATTCTTGTCATTTATTATACTAAATGAGTGACAGTTTCTAGCATTGCATTTAACATAAGAAAAACCAACAGAGTATTATTATTTTTACTAATAATTGTTGAAAGAAACATTTATATAAGTGTAGATTTTTCACTGATATCTATATCGAAATATTTTAAAAATAACTTTAACACGTGCTTTCGGTGCGTGCGGTTATTTTTTTATTTAATTATAATGACAACGACATTGACGTACATATTTTATGTTTTGAAATTTCCGAATCTTACTGAATTGATTTAAAAACAATCATTTCATTATTTGATATCAAACAGTAAAGTAAATATAGCAGAATATATGATATGTTACTATGCTGTATACTATTCATTAAAATTATCGAAGATGTTCTCTTGAACAGTCAATATAAAGGGTTTGTTTTTATATACTAGTATTTAATTGCTAATCGTATATAACATTTTTTCTTTTTCATTTGCTATAAGAATAGGAATTGTTTGACGTTCAGTCTTTCAATAGGTGTGATCATAATGTGTTTATTACTGTTTATTTCAGACTGGAAAATGTTTCGTCTGACATGAAATGAAATACTATGAAATAATAAATAGGCCTTGAATTAAATACGGTTTATGTTAAAGGCAGATAATATACTGTGTTCTTATTAAAGCTGACAGTTACTGTAAAATAATGAGGCCAAATTTAAATGGGTATGTGTCTGTGATATTTTAATTTCTATGTATTGTATGTAGTTGTTAAATTATTTGTTAAGATGTTTTGGACTTAATATTAGATTTCTTTTAAATTAATATTCATTTTTATGGATTCATGGACTGTTTTAATGTCAATGGTTCTCATAATGATTAACACATACTTACTGTGACATGAGAATTTGGTATATTAGATAAAATGTTCTAAAATATTAATATTGACAAGTCTAATGTGCTCTAAAAAGAGCTTGCAGTGGTGTTTCATATAAATCTACTATGTTTCTATTGGAAACTCTTATTTTTTTTTAAGAATTATAGAATTTAATAATGTGTACATATTTAATTTTGAATTTAGGCAAATGTATGGCGTCCATCTATATTATAAGCATAGACAGCTTAATAATCAAATCAAAAATAGTTTATTCTTGTAGCACATGTTAGCCGCTTATGAATATTAAGTTTTTCTCTCATTCTGAATGAGTGGTAGAATAAAAAAAATATGACTATACAAAAGTGCTTGTATTGAATTTATTTGAATAAAGATTATTTATATTTCTATTGATATTTTAAGTTTTTTGTATTAATATTTTATACTTCATGTATGGGCAATATATGTAATTACCATAGTCTTTTGAACTTTTCTCAATTTCATTGACTCTATGTAAAATTATCCACAAGAAGCAGAGTGGAGACAACTAACATGGCGAGAAGATATTAGGAAAATAGCAGGAAAAAGTTAGACACAAAGAGCAAAGTAGAGAAATAGTGAGAAAATAGGAATAGTCAGAGAAAGACATGTAAAACTGTTAAGATTGAATAAAATAAAACAGAATCATGTTCTTATGTCGGGACCATATAGATAGAACCTTTTTATATTAATATAAACACACCAATATTTTATTAAAATATTGTTTTCAAATTGAAATAAATTATATAGATAAGGGGGATTAATTTTGATCTTCCAATCTTATAAGAATATTGAGTATTGTATAATATTAGTGGTAAAGGGTTTTCAATTAAGTGATTTTTCCCAATAGTAAAGAATTGGAATATTGAAAATAATTTCTAAAAAGTTCATACAAATTAAATGGTTATTTCTAGATTTAGATTTTGTTTTTTCCTTAAAGCTTATCCCTTTGATTAGTATTTTATAATTAACCCTGTATAAAATAAATTAATAATTTATTTAAAAATGTATCAACTTTATTATTATATTATATTATTAAGTATATTTCAGACAACATTCTGTGTTTTTCTAATGGATCATAACTAAATGGTGCACCTGCCTGTGCTGTGGTTTACACTGGGGAGCAGTGGAGGTTGATAAGATTAGCATGAGGTCTCCGGTTAGTTAACCGTCGTGATAAATTTGTGGAGTATTTTACCACGATGGTTTCCAGGGTGAACCATGTGGAGGTCAGCCTGACATGATACATTGCAAACAAAGGGGTTCTTAATCCACATTACTAACAATGCCATTCCACCCCTAACACTCGGCGTTGGTGTGTATCGGAAACCCTTTTTGTCATTGTCAGTGCATCAGTTCTTTAAACCTACATCCATCCCACAAGTCTGGAGATCAGCTTGAAGTTTCTCTTCTTGCTGCTCGATGAACCGCAACTGCATGGTGTATAGAGAGATTGCGTAAAGATATTCGTCTCTTTAAATTATTATAAGGACAGGATTTGTTTTGTATATGTTTGTTTCTTTTTATAATAATAACAATAGTAATAAAAAAACTATATAATAAGCTACAGTACCTACATTAGTAGCGAGAAACATCCCATAACATACAATTAGTGATGGTAATAAACTGAATTAAAAAATTCTTGGTCTGAGCAATATGGTATTTGTTTTATTAAAAAATAATAGAGAATACAGTTATTGCATCCACGCGAAGCCGGGGCGGGTCGATAGTGATACTAATTATCCATAAAGGGAAACACCACGCAAGTATTTTGATAGAAGCATTGATAACGTATGTGTACAGTATACAGAATCATAACGCGGTTGTTGATAACGTTTCAGTCTGCCTCCACAGTGACCCAGCTGACGTTGTTTCGTGAATTCGTAACGCTTATTACTCGTATAATCAAATAAAAAAGTGTGTATTTAAATAAGAAAAAATACCTTTCCTTTTTTTATTTTTATTCAACTGCGCAAGTGCAATCTGTTATACTGCCAGTACGTATTATATTTTTGTTATAATATTCATTTTGCAGATTAACAAATATTACACGTAAGTGGAATTCACAGTGACCCAACTGACGTTGTTTCGTGAATTCGTGACGCTTATTACTCGTATAGTCTAATAAAAAAGAAATATATTTAATTTAAGAATAAACATTTTTTTTTATCAACTGTCCAAGTGCAATTTGTTATACTACCAGTACGTATTATATTATTGTTATAATACATTTTACAGATTAAATATTCACGTAAGTGGAATCCAGTTGGCATTCTCTTTACTTATTTGTTTTTGTTATGTAAATTCATTACCAACATCTGCTTATACTGCTAAATATACGTAAAAGTGTTGTGTTTACAGAATTATACAGTAATGAACGTAGGCAAAGACTATAATTATAATATATATAATATAAAGTACCTATAATATAACTACATATACATATATATCTATAAATATATATGTACATATACCAAGTCAAAAGCAAGATAGAGAACTCGTACTTATGAAACTAAACTTTTTGATCAAGTAACAAAATGCGAATTATCAAATAAAATATCAAAATTTAAAAATAAATATAGCTTCGTAGTGTAGCGGTATAGCAGTCTATTTCGCGGTGGTCGCGGGTTCGAGTCTAGCACAATACTGTTCTTGTCTGTATTTCTATTCTGTTTGTTTAAATATCTTCTATGTTCTAACCATAATATAAGCATTTCTAATTGTTGTTTATTTTCCATAGTATTGAGGTTGCTCAGCTGTGCTCAGGTTTCAGAAGTAGGCTGTAAAAGTCGCTTGCGTATCATCAGTCTGATCTTATTTCAGCCGCAAAGCAGCTTGATTTGTAAACTGTGTTTCGGTAATAGGGTATAGTGTGATATTTTAGTTCTTTTAATTTGCAGCACGGTTTCACGGGTGTCATATGATAACGTGATGTTCGTAGTGTTGTTCATGTATATACACGACAGTTACCGCTTACCATCAGGTTAGGCCGTCTTTTTTGCCATTTCAATTACATAAGAAAAACTAGATGCTCGTACAATCACGATTCACGAATATCCTATCATAGTATTTTATAGCATGTAATGCTTCTTTACATAGTATAAAATGAAGTCGCTTCCGCTTCCTGAAGTCTGTTTGCTGAGGAAGGTTTATATGTATGCTACCCTCCCCGGCTTCGGGTACATGTACCCGTGCGAAGGGAGGGAGGGGATGGTAGCTAGTTAAAAATACAATATAAAATTGACCTTAAGTTATTTTAATTTGGTTAAATGAATTTAATTTGTTTAAGTTATCAGTATAAGATACAATAATGTCAAATGAAACGAATATAGTTTTGGATATATCTGTACATATTTTTTTCCCCATTTGCATCTAGCCGGTTTTGGAAACATTTATATAAGTTCATATTACGTTTTATTGACTGTCGTAGAATAATTTATCTATAAGACAGTGTATATTGTTTATATTATATTCACAGAATATTTCGTAACATTTAGTAAGACAATAAATATTTTGGAAGAATAAACTGTCACGCCTCTATACTCTGTAATTTCACTGCCAACTCTCACCTTTTGAACGAAGCTTACAAAGCAAGTTACGTAGCTAAAATAGATGAGACACCTACTTTTGTATTGGTAATACCCACGTAGATGATTTTCTATAAAATTTACCTCGGCAAGGGAAGAAATTTATAAATGGGCTTATGAATATCAAAGTTCGGTAACAAAGATGTAAAAAATACAAAGCATTGAGAATCATCTTGTTTTGAAGTCGGCTAATCACATCGTAGTATAGTAATAATGGACAATGTGTTATTACACTTAATAATATTATTAATCCAAGGATTAATGCATTCTACTTGTAGAGAATTATGACGGTTTAATAAGATAAGATTTATTATTATTGAAAATGACTGATGAATGCCTTTTTAAGCCACCACGTAATCACATACGCTGAGGATGAAAAATGTGAACAATATTAGTTGTTCTTAGATATGGATGGACCAGTGCCGGAATTATATTTCTATGAGTGTAGGCATACAAATTTCCGCTGCCCCATCCTTTAAAAAATAATAATTTTCTATTTGTAGTAAAGAAGGTTTAACTGCTGCTCTCATCTATCATTCACGCTATACTATATTATACATATACTTATCTATATAATATACTATATATATTACGATAATATGGGTTTCGATAGGAATGAGTTTCTATTCTTTAAAGTATAAAAAGCCATGAGAAAACTGACTTTTATCCTCTGAAATCTGCCGCCCCTAGGACGCTGCCGCCTCTAGGCCACGACCTATATGACCAGGGCTGGGGTGGACGGATTCGAATGAAATTTAGTATATTCATAGATCTTATTGCCTGCATTAATTTTTATGCAATATATGAAATATTGCATAAAAATTAACCCCTACTAGATTATTGTTTTTTATAAGATAAAATATAGTATGTGTCTATGTTGTATGCGTAGTATATGTCGTATATCGTTGGTATGTCATATGTCGTTCGTAACAAATTTAATTAAGATCCGTTGAGCCGTAGGTTAATAGGTAACAATGATACAGACAGTCACACATTCACATTTATAATTTATACAAGTATATATATATAAATAGAATATAAGTGTCTGCTTGTAATTTCAAATTATAACAGCTTTCCACTAAATGCATAGGAATCGAACCTGCGACCATCGCAAGTAAAGCGGTGTACTAAATCTCTACATCACCGAGGCCGTCTATATTTATACAAGTACTGTAGAGAATGGTATTAAGAATCTAGGTTAGCACTAAGTGGTGTCGTAACTCTTATTACGGTTTTCAGCATACTTAAGTGCATTGTATTATGTCCACAAGTGCATGAAATATGATTTGTGCTCATTGTAAGAAATGTGACCATCAAGCATTGCTATGTTGATTTTATCCTTATGTAAATATAATACAGTCTACAATAGTTTATCAGAACGTGTACGTACATTTGTTAAAATTCTACGCAGTGTGTTTAGCATTTATTTGTATAATTTGTATACATCTGAGGCCGGAAAATATACAGTCACAAGTTTCTGACAAATATGTAATACCTATTCTTATATTTAGAATTTTAGAAATAGTGATAAATTCCAGTTTTCATGTAGGTATATATGTATATATTTATACGAGCTGAGTTAAGTAATTACCGTTGCCCATAAGCCATGAGCATCGGCAACACCAGGAGAATTCAAGTGCATTGCCGGCCTTTTAAGAAAGAATAAGTTCTTTTCTTGAAGGTTTCTATAAATATTTCTATAATAACAGTAGCTTAAGTTACTCTTTATAATACTAGCTATCTGCCAGTAAAAGTCCCGTCAAAAACTATTTTAGATATTAGCACTTCTTTTTGCTAATATCTAGTTCAGTTAGACATTTTTTTTTAATATTATTTTTTATGCGGATGCCTAACTTGAAATCACAAACATACATTTAAATTTTATTTATGTATAAATGAATTAAAAATAATTAGCGGTCAGATGCAAAATTTAACTATCGAGTATCAAATCATTACAGAACAGCAAAAAAAAAATCTAATGATATATTTAATGTGTTATTGTTAGTTTCGTACATACGCGTAAATGACGTATGGTCGTTTTAAACATTACGTACTGTGATGTGAACAGGATGTAACATAATATCTGACGATAGTTTTTCTAAAACAACGTGTAAGGAAGTGTGATACGACCCCTCCGCTCAATCCCGATCGGTTCATTAGTTTTTGAGATTATTGCAAGCATATATAGACGCAACTGAGAATTTGTTTCATAACATACATGTATAGATAAACACTTTAGTATACTATTATAAATTAAATTACAATTATTCGAATATCTAGTGTACGACTGTCATGAATCTATAACATTACACTTATTTCCTGTCCCCCCCTCCGATCTCCGTCCAATTTAAACGGGGAAATTACGACGGCCGAGGTTCGAAATTCTAGCAGTGCTCTCAGATTAAAGTCGTATCCATCAGGCGGGAGTTGGCCTTTGGCCGCTCCATAAGTCCTTCCGTGTGTTTGTGTTATGTGCACTCGCCCTCTATCGTCCAGTGAAGCTGTAAAGGCTGCGGCCAACAGCATTAAAGTAAACCGAAAAAAAGGGTGATATTAGTTGTTCTATTATACATTGGACGGCCTGATCGTTTTTCTTTTCTTTATTTTAATCCAGGAAAATTTACGCAGCGCCATCGGCCGAGTTAGATTTTTGTATAAAGTTGTAAGACAGTAAGACTGACGTTACAGATAAAGAATGGAAAAAATAAAATAAATAAAAAAAAAGTAATGTACACGTTGCTGTTTATATATTTGTCATTTCAACAATTCCAAACGAAGCAGAACATATAGAAATAGAAATAATCTTTATTCAAATAAACTTAATATAAGCGCTTTTGAATAATCTAGTTTTTTTATTCTACCGCTCATTCGGAATGCAGACTCATCACAAGAAGAATGAGCAAGAAACTTGTGTGTTGCTCTTTTAACTAAATTAATATACTGTGGGTACTAAACAGGTGATAGAAATATACCATCAACTCCTACTTTTTAATCGTGATTTTAATTTATATGGTAAAACAACTTTTACTGGGTCAGCTAGTAATTTCTATAAATTCATAGAATTCACTGTCTTAGGAGATGATTTTTACCGATAATATCTCATTCAGATGGCCGTCCCCATGAGAACGATGTTATTGTAATTTTCTTGTCTAGGATATAAATCATGGGATATATTTTAAACGTGATATTTTGTTTCAGAGTCGCCATGACACCTGCCATATTGGTAACGGGTGGCGCTGGTTATGTGGGATCTCATACCGTCGCTGCACTACTCCAGTGTCAACACGAGTACACTCAATTCGATATAGTTGTTATTGATAATTTATGCAACTCGTATAGGTAAGTAGTTGTGATAGAACAGACCTATTCGATTCATTAGAAAATATCTGAACATTTGACGGCCTCGGTAGTTTAGTGATTTAGCTCGCCTCCTTACTTCCGATGGTCCTTATTGCACGATGCAATTATATGTATTCTTCTATATTTATGAATATGCTTGTTTATAACGTATATTACGTATATATTTGCCAAAAAAATATAAGTGTTTATATCAGTTATCTAGTACCCATAACACAAGCTTGAGCTAGCATAACTTGGGTCTAGGATGGCGCTGTGTGAATGGTCCTGAGATTATTATTGCACGATGCAAACGTTTGTTTTCTTCTATATTTATGAGTATGATTATTTGTATTGGTCGATGTTTTCTATGTATGTAGTTACAAAAAAATGTATTTCTGTCAGTTTTCTGAAGTAAAGTTGATTTTGGGACTAGATGAAGCTGTGTAAATTGTCCAGAGTTATTATTATTATATATTTTTATGTAACTGGATTCACAAACAAGCTGACGCTTCAAGTGGGGGCCTTCAAGGGTCATCTATATACATGAAGAACAAAATAGAGGACAAAATTTCATTTTATTTTCTTTTTATCATGATTTTGAAATGAATTTGTAATAAAAACATATTTAAATACATTCTTTTGTCTGCCATATTGAATTTGATGGCGAACTCGAGCGAACCCTTTAATTGGATACATATATCCTTGAAAAGCACACAAATAATTATACTTATTGATTGAATTTACAATGATGTCACGTGGCTAATCATGCATTGTCATTCAAACTCAACGTTTATGCAAAATTACAGCGCAATCAGTTGAGCAAAACTGTTGGAATCAGCTGAGTATGTTGAAACCTATTTTTATACATTTCAGTAAAAATATGATAAAAATGAATAAATTATTAATATTTTTAAAAATTCAATTTCATAATAGTATCCTAATAAATTTTGCAAATGAAATAGAAGTTTGGAACATGGACGAGATTCTCAATTGAAATCTACATTTTGTGTCAACGTCACGTCCGTATGTGTAACCGGAAACGATAAAGATTTTCCCGTTCAGGAAATGAAAATTAATTATTAATTATTAACATTATTAATCTATTGATTAGGTATCTATACATTCTAATTGATGTTATTCGCTTGTATCTTTAATCTGGACTGACGTAATTATTGTCTGATCAGCTGATAATAATAATGGATTACAACGTAATTTACAAGTGTTAATACAAATATTACAAATAAAGCCATAATGCGCTCGTAATCCTACTGCCTCTGCGCGCCGTGCATTATTGTGCATCTGTGGCGCATTACATTTACGCGGCAAAATAAAATAGACTACAAAAATGGCTTCTTCCGCAGACAGAATTATCTTGTGCTCCTAATTCCTAATTGTTTTATACTATTACCTATATATGTCTGCAATTTACTTTTATTACAATATACTTTCTATGTATTCAACAAACCTGAAGCCCCTACTAGCATACCTAGCAACAAGTATTAGAGAGGTCATTACTAAAAACAAAATAAAACAAAAGTTATCAAACATTGATTATGAACAAATTCAAATGCGTGGATACCTCTATCTCTCTTTATTTAGTTTACTTTGGAATTTTTGTGCTGGTTTAATGTGCCAGTAAAATTGCAAAGTACGCTAGCATAACGACAGTCCTCAGGCGCATGTTCATCACAGGCTTCACAATATGCTGTTTATGTACTGCCATAGTCATTACTTCCTATCTGGTGGGGCTGGTAACTTTTATACCATTCTAATTTCATAAGAATATATTATGATATTCTTCATTTTTACAACAGATTACCAGGTTTTTCGTAACTAACTCAACCCGTGAAATTATGGTTATATCTTTATTGTTTGTAAAATTAGTGAAACAAAAAAATATTCAAAATAAAGTATACCACAAAAAATTGTATTTTTTTTGTGATATCGCACAAACTCACAGACAAACAATTATTGTTTTGGGGCTCTATTACGTTGACAAAGTCTCCCTATAACAGAATATCTCAAATATTCCATCTAAAGACAGCGATCAGTTACATTTTTAATTTTTTATGATAGATATATGTACAGATTAAAGTTCTTGCTTACAGAGAAGAAGGTGAGAAGAAACCTTCTCCACTGCGAGTGGTGGAGGAGTTGACTGGCAAAACTATACAGTTTTACGATGTGGATATCAGAGACGCAAATGGTTTAAGCAATGTGTTTGAAAATGTAAGTACTTTTTTTACAAGTAGACTCGTCTTCTACTTCTCCAAAGCCGTTATATATATATATATTTTTTTTTTTAATTCAATGGTATATTAATTGTTCCCCGCGATTTAGTCTGCTTTTATGCTCTATGTCCGTATTAGTGATTACACTATTATACCACATTCGAGGCAACCTATAAATGATAAATAGTACGTGTGCGTCATTCTATAATTTTTCTGCCCCAGCTACCAATGCTGACTCAGCTGATATGCTCGGTCCACTTCTGCTGACTATAACTTATTTTACCCTTTACCCACGCAACGTCATCTACATTGTATTTCCCCACCTTCTGCAATATTTTTCATTGCAGCTCCTATTAGTCGTAGCGTAATGTGCGTGCATGCTTAAAGCCTTCCTCGACAAATGAACTATCCAACACAAAGAAGTTTTTCAATTCGAACCAGTAGTTTCTGAGATTAGAGCGTTAAAACAAACAAACTACTCTTATAATATCTATAAAATCTCAGCTTTATAATATTAGTATAGAAAAGAAAATTATGGAAAAATACTTATATACGGAGATATATATTGGGAAACGATTAACAAGACAGAAAGTATAAACAAGAACTATAAGTTTCAATACAAATTTAGAACAATAAATACATTTCCGATTATCCAGTACAGTATATATACAACTGTTTTATATCACCTTGTTATTTATTTGTATTGGCTTTCTTCAGCACAACATAGACTGCGTGATTCACTTCGCAGCACTGAAGGCGGTCGGCGAGTCAGTACAGAAACCCCTCGAATATTACCAGGCGAATATTACAGGAACATGCACATTACTTGAGGTATGGAAACTTATTTATTAAGAATAAACATAAACTACCTGTGCCCGCGGTTTCAACCGCTTGTTTATAGTCTTTGTTCTTCTGAGCTAATATGAAGCCACCGTAAACTGAATTGTTAGATTTATTCCTTAGACATGTCAAATGAAACGCTCATAATAAATTTCGGGCAGAAGACGTTCAGCTGTCACGTGACCGCTGACTGGCTGGCTAATAGCGTTCGTAATACGAAATCGCCAGGCAGTTCAGTTTAAGCCGTAAATCGAATGGGAATAAGAGTTCATAATACGCCCCTTGATGTATAAGATATATTATTGAAAAGTTTCAGGTTGTGAACACTGATTAAATTTATTGTTCTTTGCGATAGCATATGCTAGTGGTTACTCTATTCTCCCAAATTTGAATTTTAATGACTGTATATTATTATAAACATGTTCCACTATTATTTGAAAAAAATACGAGCTGAGTTTCTTGTCAGTTCTTCTCATCTCGATATCATTCCGAACTGACGGTAGATTTGACATATCATAAGAGTCTGTAATAGACCTACATGAATAAAGATATTTTGAATTTGAATTTTCATTAAAATTCATTCAGTAGTTTATGCGTGAGAGAGTAACAAACGTACATCCACACTCGGAAACTACTGCGTTTATAATACTAGCTGAGCCCGCGGTTTCGCTCGCGTTAAAGTTCAATATATAAATTTCAGCATAAAATCTAGCCTATGTGTTATTCTGATGCATAGGCTATATTACTGTAAAGTTTCATTAAAACCCATTCAGTAGTTTATGCGTGAAAGAGTAACAAACATGCATCCACACTCACAAACTTCCGCGCTTATAATATTAGCAAAACTGTAATGTGTATAAAAACGAATAAATTATTTAATTTAATTACAAAGCAAACTCTTTGACGGAATGATAGAACAAAACGCAGATGTCTTTGTAGTAAATCTACATTGGTAAATGCAGGTAATGAGGAAGTACGGCGTCTACAAGCTAGTGTACAGCTCGTCGTGTACAGTGTACGGGGAGCCGGAGACACTGCCGTTAAGAGAAGGGCACCCTACAGGACGCGCGCTCGCCAGCCCCTACGGGAAGACCAAGTATATCTGCGAGGAGATCATGAAGGACGTGTGCGGCAGTGATCAGGTAGATACGTTTTTGTTTATAGATAAATACATACTAATTTTATAAATGGGACACATGGATCAGGGGCGGATCTACCTAAGGCCCGAAGAAACAAAGTGCCCCTGATATTTTTTTGGTTGGCAACCCTGAGATCCATACAAGTGCGCGTCTATCGAAAGGAACGGGGAATTTCTGGTCGCTTGTTTTTGGTGGGTGTATTTTTTTAGTTGAGTAATATAATTAGGTAGGCTCCTAAGTAGATTCAGCCCAGGGCCTCACAATTCACGATCCGCCCCTGAATGTGAAGGTGTGTTTGACTGTATGTTATGTTAGCAGACTTCTAGGAGCAAAACTCACTGTTTTTTTTATTTGTGTATAATGCAATGCACATTTCACTGTAATGTAATGTGAGTTGGACTCTACTGTCCTACCATTGGGTCGTTGTCCGTGTAGGGCAGAGATTACAAAAGTAGCCAGCCAAGCTCCACCCAGAAGCGCAGAAGCCTGGTGTCCTCACAGGCTTCACGGTGTGACCGCATCGTTCGTTTGTGTACGTACTCCAGAATTACGTGAGCGGCCGGTTCTTTGGCTTCAAAGCAGCCCCGACAAAGAGTACTGTCTGTAGTACTTATTACAAGGGTTTAAGGGACCCGTTATTGTCCCTACCATTATTTTAAGGTTTTTCGTATTTAGGTTTAAAAGACGTTTTGTTAATCTTTGGTTTCCTTAAATAAAGTAAACGATCAAATGTGGCAAGTCCAGAACTTGCCACAATTGATTGTTTTATAAAAGTGGTTCGTGTCCATCTTTGGTTTTATATTTTATTAGATATACACCAATTTTTTGGAATTATTGGAATTACTGGCGAGTTCAAGTTCGAAATTGCGAAAACGGTAATGGTAAAAGAATGAGGGACCTGCTACCGCAATACTAGATAGTTTTTGGCCACCTCGTCCGCCTCAACATGAACATACCGCTCAGTAAACACAGTTCGACATTTCAGTATGAATATGTTGTCCTGACTGAGCCAGCAACAGCCATTTCTAAACTAGATGTCAACAACTTCAACATTACATTCATATCGGATAGTACAGCCGTCTAGAAAACTTCACAAAACAGGATAATCTAGTATCACTATGTCATGGATAAGATATCATTGCACAATCGATTAATTATCCAGTAGATCAAAGGGCGCAATGGATGGTAACATTTCACTGTATGGGTTCATCCCTTGTGATTATTTATGTAATGATTTACTTAATATATTTTGTCAGAAATGGATGATAATATCACTCCGGTACTTCAATCCTGTGGGCGCGCATCCCAGCGGCCGCATCGGTGAGGATCCCACCGGGACACCTAATAACTTGATGCCGTATATTGCACAGGTATTTAAAATTACATATTATCATTTACTAATTTATGAAAATAAAAATATAGTAATTTCATAGCCGTTATTGCTGTTTCCCACAATCCTCCAAATCTTTACTTATACCCTTATAGTATAAAATCCATTAAGATGTGGGCTTTTAAATGCAATAAGTGCTATATTTCTAATTTCAATTGTTACTACCAAAGAATAGTGCTTTATTATCTACATATTAATACGTTAAGCAAAAACTTTGTACCACTTTTTACAAAACAAGGAAATATTTCATACATTACAGTTATAGTTTATACTAGCTGTTCCCGCGACTTCGTCTGTGTGGAATTTAACTTTATTTTTCTAAAATAAAAGTAGCCTAAGTTACTCCTTGTTATATCAGCTACCTGCTAAAAAAAGTCCCGTCAAAATCGGTCCAGCCATTACAGAGATTGGCCTGAACAAACAGATAGACAGACACAAAAATTATAAAAAAAATTATTTTGGTTATATACCGTATTCATATTTATATGCATGTAGTAAAAAACGGTTATTTCAAATTTATTTATATGTATAGATAGAGAATAGTGCAGAATGTTTTTTTATATTATGCATAAACATTAAATTAAGAGAACACGCACACTAGTATCAAATACGTGGTGTGTTTGGTACAAACACATATATATTTTTTTGTTTATTGTTAAAGTTTGTGGTCAAATTGAGAATAGATGAATATTGTTCGTCTTTAATATTGTCAATGGTCGTACTGTATTTTAAATTAATTATGGTCCTATTTTAACCACTGGGCGACCACTAGTATTATTTATATAGCATAGATAATAAAAAAAATATAGTGATACTTTAATGCGAGGTGGCGGTGGGTCGGCTGCCAGAGCTGCAAGTATTCGGCGCGGACTATGACACTCCCGACGGCACAGGGGTCCGCGACTACATTCATGTGCAAGATCTGGCCGAGGGACACGTGAAAGCTATTAAGCTGTTCCGGCAGCCAGATTTCAGCGGCTTCCATGCTGTTAATTTAGGTAATATTTTATGAAAGATAATCACAAAACATTATATCAATTCATGGCTTCTCATTATACAATTGTTGCTTCCTTGTTCTTTGTAAAAAAACATACTTTTTATAGTATCTATATTTTTTTTATTTAATTGGAGATGATGGTCCAACTGATGGTAGTGTAACCACTAACTATATACATTAACAAGACAGAGTTCCCATTTCAGAGGACTAAGGCATTATACCGCAATAATTTCCTGTAAGTTCACTTCCATATGTGTTCCTTCAAACTGAAACAGCTTGTGAAGCAAGCTGATTGGCGGCTAAAATGGAAGGAAGTCGAAAGTTTTGAATCGTTAATCCATTATTATAGAACTCTCTGGTCCTAACAGGTACCGGCACTGGTTACTCAGTACTCCAAATGATTGCGGCTTTCGAATCGGCGAGCGGACGGCGGGTACCGTACAAGGTAGTAGGTCGGCGCGCGGGCGACGTAGCTGCCAACTATGCAGATGTCTCGCTCTCGCATAAGCTGCTGGGCTGGCGTGCAACCAGGACATTAGAAGACATGTGTGCAGACACGTGGAGGTGGCAGAGTAATAATCCTAATGGTTTCAAGAAGGCATAAACTCAGTGCTGACGTAAGCATATTATTAAGCGACTTGCGCCCTTATGATCCTGCGCACTGGTGCCTAATAGAACAACAAGCGGCTATGTTGTAGCTGCTCTTTGAAAACAACATGAAATGTTATACCTAAAATAAATTGTAATTCTTATGTTTCGTCTCTTTCTTTGAAGCAAAATTTTCACTTGAGAGAAAGAGACAAAAATATTTGAAAATTACATATACAAGTAATTTTAACTATAGAATTTTTATTCAAAAATAAGTTTATATTATTTATCAGATGACCCAGTTTAATTCTATTTTTATGATACACTAGTTATTAGATTAAGCACTTGTCAGATTTATTTCGCCAAAGAATCCCAAAAATTTATTATGTGCCATTTAACAAATTTATTTATTCGAATTATATTCTTAGTTTTATTTTATTAAACTAGATAAATATGTTCCTATTGTGTTGCCATATTGTATTTAAACATACCAAATATTTTTATTTTGTTATTTAAAGCAAATTCATGTCGGAAATGCCAAAGCATTACATTTATCAGTTTATTTGTCTATTAACTGTCAGCGTCATCAAAAGTACTTTTTTTATAATAAAATAAATACTCGGAAAAACTAAATTATATTTGAATTATTTTTCACAATTTTATGTCGTTATTTTTTGTGTTACATGATGTTTATCATTTTAATTTGTAATGAGATCTGTTGTTAAAAATATTTATTAAATTATTGCGTTTATATTTTTATTTCTGTGACATATCGATACATAATGTTAATATTGGCATTTATATTTAAACTTATCATTCCATTGTTAAATGCATTTTATTTTACCTAAAGGTATATTATTTTGTAATCTTCAAGGTGCTATATATAAAAATGTTACGTACTGTCTTGTTTCGGTCACGAAATAAAGCTTTTTTATATATTTACTTTGTTTTATTTTTAGACTAGCAACCTGACCCAAGTGTATTACAAATCTTTGAATTTATTCGCTTTCCGGTACTATAATATGCATGTATTATATATATATAAACCTTCCTTTTAAATCATTCTATCCACTGCTAAAAGCAGCATTAAATCTGTTGCGTCACTTGAAAAATTTAAATGCAGACAGAGGGGCCAACTTTGTTTTATACTATGTAAAGATACACGAAATATGAATAGGTCAAATACCAAATATAAAATTGCCAACATCTCAGATTTTAAATAAAATTAAATATATTATGTGGCTACCTATATATTATTTATACTATACTATTTAAAAAAAATCTATCTCGTGTGCATTTAAAAAGACGCTTAAATTCTTGATAAACAATTGAATAGGCCTTTATTTTAATCAAAATTAGTGAATTTACGTTGTGTATACTTATTATTTTGTAGTATGATTTTGTTGCTAGTGAAAGATTTGGATTTCGTCGAACATAATTCAATTTTCAATCAGAGATATCTTCTGCTGCCTCGGATTAATATTATTTATTATACAACACATAATGAGCTAATTACTGTAATAATTCAGATAAGAGGACCTGTAATCCCTACTCTATCATTTTTTATACAGATAATTTGTAATTGCCACAGTATAATCCTAATGCTTAGCTTTAATACTTTAATTTTCAGACAGCGCCAAATAGTAATGAAGTGTTTACTCTGCTTAACGACAGAATACAACGTATCGAGTACACATTTATATTTCTTTTTACATGTCATTTTATATTTTATTATTTCCTATATGGGTCTATCGGTCTTTGAGTATATAAATATTGTTATAATATTAACTATTAGCTGTGCTCGCAAATTCGGTCGCGTGGAATAGTGACTTTGACCAAATACAGAAAAAATATTTAGTAATCTAACCCAAAAAACCAAAGTAAAAATTTCATCGTTTTAACTTCAAAAATTACAAATTTTCATTCTTTATTTTACCTTACCCCCTTAGGGGTAAAATTTTTACATACTTTGAATATCATATTTATTTATATTTAATCAACTGTTTAAAAAATAAGTTTAAAGCTTCCAGGTATTTTTTTCACAACCTTACATCTAATTTTTTAGCAGTAGAAAGTAGTCAATATCCTTAGACAATCTGAATACCAAATTTCATTTAAATCTGTTTCAGTAGTTACGGTGTGAAAGCGCGACAGTTACTTTCGTATTCATAAAAGGAAGATTACAATTAGATATTGTAAGTTGGATTTTGTAAGGCATTTTTACTCTCACCTGGGCCGTTGTGCAGTATATTTTTAGGTATTATATATTTATTTTGTTAACGTTATAATTAAGAATTGTTAACAACATCATTTCATATTTCACTACATTTGACTATCTATATGTAATCTTGTTGTTATGGTAATTACAACAGATGCTTTTTTTACATTTCCTTATAGACTTTGAGCTGAGTGTACCCTATTGTCTCACTATGAAGTAAAATTAATGTTAAATTAAAACAAATAGTACTGTAGTTATTTTTCTGTATTATCTAAAATTACAAATCTTTCATAATTTCAATCGTTACAAACTAAGTTTTGCTTGATTATTCAGCACATACCTTTACTCTGTCGTCTAAAAATATTTGATTTACATTTTTACAATATCTCTAACACCACAGTTCGTGGGAGGAGGGGTTTAAAACAAAACGTTAGAGCTATTAGAAAATACTTAGAATCTGCATTATTTACAAATCACTTGCCCAGTCGCGTTTGGAAATTAATTTCATAGTAGGGCTATATGCACTGCTTCTAATTTTATTAATAGGCACTATAAAAAAGTTCTTATAAAATAATAATACAACGTAATGGTCTACTAATAAACAGCAAAAGAAATTCTTATTTCCGGGCCAATGATTTGGAATGAAGCATTAATAAAAGCACGACAAAACAAGATAAATAAATGTGCTGAACGTAATATAATATTTAAAACTTAAAATAGTTTATTTCATAATGAAATCTGCTGAATGATGCTAGATGATTTGAGATCGTAATGCAAGAGTTTAAAACTGATTTCTTTATAAAATCGAAAGGAATTGCACTTATAATTATTAATCAATACCAAGTTAAATTACTTAGCAACCACCAAATTATTATTTTAACTTAATATGAGAAAAATATAGTAGAAACAAACATACACAATGAAGTACTTCAATTAATCTGTCGACACCCACATATAAAAAATAATAATTTGTCATTTCGTATGTAGCTTACATAATAAAAAAAAATGCCGAAAATACAAAGAAAATAAAAAAAAAATTCTATCACGCAATATGAATGACAAAATTATGATAATTAATATACAGCCATATAATACGGACATATGTATGTTAAGGAAAAGAAACACTTAAGATAAAGTACACTGGAATACCAATGGAAAAGAAACTATATTTATAGGTAATTAAAAACATACTGATTATTTATATTACTAAATATTAACAGTATTTAAAAACACTAACATAATGACGAAGGATGAAGGTCGACTCAATTTTTATATTACAGCAAACAATGGCGTTTAAAAAACAAAGAGGACTGCATTTATATTAAGCAAGTTTGTATTACAAATCCTGTAACACCACGTCCAGTTTATAGTAAGTTTATAGAAAATATAATACCATCTTTGTATAGGTAATTAAAAAATTAAATATAATAAAATTACACAATATGACGAATAATGAACTTGACTGACAATTACTCTAAACAATTTGATACTAATCAAGTCATAATTAGACTCGATAGAAGAGCAACATTAATATTTTGTAAAAATATATTAGTCGCATTAAATTTGTTATTTGATAAAAATGCCCATTAGTTATTTCTATCAAACAACAAATTAAAATCAATGTATTAAAGAATTTAATCGATTACACCCTCTTATTCATAAAGACCTATTTTAGTTCCTTTGCCTTTCCAATTTGCTAAACGGAATAAAAAAATATTTTAGTTACTGGAACTGTTTTGTATTTTTATTTAAGTCACGTTCTTAATTTGAAAGAATATGATAAAAATACTATTATTATGATTTAAGGTTCTGGTTTTTATGAATACCGGGAGGTTAATCGATAGATTTGAAGTCAAGTCGACTGTATTTTATCAGGAATCATTTCCATAGATCAGTAGAAAGTTAAGAATTAATAATATTTCGCTCTATGTTACAAATATCAACACCAAAAATCGACATACAATCGCACTATGAGTAAATAATCGTAAGGCAACGATTGGTGGATAGAACTACATATTACTGACGTGGTAGCATGTCCCAGCATCCCACGTACACGAGATAAGGTATAAGCTAATTTTAACATACTTTGGTTGGTAGGTAACTTGTGGAGTTTGAAGAGAGTAAGGCCGGGATGTCAATATTACTATCGCATCAGTGTTGGTGGAAACTGTATATTATGTGAAATAGTTTATATAAATGTAATTCTATCATTTAAGGCCGCTGGTATACAGTCGGTTAGTCGTCAGGTTTCCCGAATGCGACAACCGAGCCAGTGGTATATCAGAGGCTAATATACTCCAGTGGTTCCCCTCTGTAATACATCAATCAACTACAATACGGAAAGAGTAATAATAACGCGTATATTTTTAAATTAGATAAAAAAACCAGCACAGGTAACAAATACCTCTTCTGTATTTGTTATCTATCTCAAAATGTTATAATGTTAGAAAGAAAGTGCATTAGAAAAAATAAAAGCGACTGATTACAAAGTATGTGAAAATGAAATTACTGAGAGTTAAATTTCTTTTGTATCATGGACATCAGAATTTATTATCTGCTTACTCCATAATATTTATATTTAGGGGAAGATGCAGACAAATTAATTTGAGCCTAAATTCAAGGCTCTAAGTTTAATTTTAAATGTAGTCTTTTATTGTAGTTGGTCGATGTTGAATATTATATAAATATTTTAGTATTTAGTGTTGTATTTTATTTAAAAAAATAGCACTGAATTAAAATGCAAGACGCATATTTCTATTACAAGATCATATTAGTGTATTTGTTAATACCAAAATATATAAAATTCAATACACTATGTAAATATTGTCTATGATTTTTGGCTATAGACAAGCAGCTGTCTCATATATACTATATTATGAAATTAAAGACTGGACTTAAATTATTAAAACTGTGATGTGTACTTATATTTAGTAATACTAAAATTATATGTACTGTGTACAAAAAAAAAAGAAATAATTTTGTTTGCTATGGTCATAAATATTATTTTTTTAATTATCTGTATATGGCCAGAGCAAACATATAAATAAGAACAACGGGAAATGGGGAAGTATTGCTTTACTGTGTGGGGATATTTCGTACTACCCTACACACAATTTTAATATTACCATTCGATTTAACAATAACGTGTTATGTACATAATAATTAATAATAAAATCTATAAAATTCATGTGAAGCAACTAATTAATTCAGATCACTATCTGACTTCGAAAGTGTATTCCGGAAATACGTAAAAATATTTTATTGATTATTTTTTTATTTGTCCCGGATAGTCAAAGGCACTACGCCTGTACAGTCATATCTTTTTTACTTTAGCTGCATGTCTAGAGCCCTAATAAAGTTTGCAGTCCACAAATATGTGAGTGTATGTTATTGGTATGTTACATTGGTGTTTCTAGGATCACTAGAGTCTTTAGGGCACTTGCTAACTGTCGGTGGGCTAGCCTTCGCGTTTGATGCTCGGCATTTGTGGTGGGGGCTCGGCCAGACCCTTCACCTGTAAAACACATAGGCTTCTATTAGATTTGATGATATATTTTCAATAGGATTCTTATAGACTTTTACCATTGTAGACTTTCAAAATCGTCTGCACGGATTCCTCAGTCTCCCCTATTTCAGATTCTAAGCAGTTTACTTAGTAAGCGGTTGGTGAGGCAATAAAATTACAGGATATAGAGATATTTTAGTTAAAGTGTGAGGATGGGCGTCGGCATGATGTCCTTTGTGCAGTTCACGTATATATGCAATGGGTGCCTCTTATCAATAGTGTGGTTTTTTAAATAGCATAATAGCATAAGTCATCACCTCCGCCCATTCACACGCTGATTCATACGCAATACCAGGGTAATGGCAGGTCATTTGCCGGCATTGCCGCAGCTCCGGCGGTGTTTGCCTGTACTGTAGATTGCAGGGTAGGCCCCATATCGTCGTTAGGGCGTCCTATTTCACCCTACTCAATCGTATAAGGTTGGTAAATGCGGTCTATCATGACCTACCTTAAGTCTAGCCGCTGTTTTGAGGAAGGCGGGCAGCTGTTCTTGAGAGACATTCACCTCGCCCGCGTACATGAACTCGAGGATCGCCTGCAGGTGGAGGTACGAGACGTCCTTCAGGATTATTATGGGGTGCTTTGAAGGGTTCTCCTGTAAACGACATCACAATTAGAATATTGGGGTTTAGGTAAACTAGTGGGGTTAGTAGTAATAATAATAATATTTCAGGACAATTCACACAGTGCCATCTAGTCCCAAGCTAAGCAGAGCTTGTGTTATAGGTACTGCACAACTGATACAAATACATAGATACTTTTTGTAAATACATACAAAATATACATAGAAAACACCCAGACTGATACAAACAATCATACTCATGAATACAAATGTTAGTGCCGCGCGAGGTATCGAACCCGCGACCTGCGGAAGTAAAGCGGTGCTAGACTACCGAAGCCGTCAAGTAGGAAGCAGTTACAAGTTTACTAGAAAGATATGTATCCTGTCAGATCAAACTCCACACATTCCCACTGAAAACCATCGTGGATAAATTCAGGTGACTTCGCCATGATAGGCAAACGGACTTGACTTATCATCCCCCACTGATATCTCGTAAGCATATACTGTTAGTGCAGGCGGGTGCACCATTCCATATTTATCCAGTAAACTGCTTATGCCTATTGTACTAAATATTTTTTTATACAATTCGCTTGTTTAATCAAATTCAAAAGTTTTATCAACGTCCCAACATTTGCATACGACCAATAAATTCTTATTATGACAAGGTACAAAAGTGTTCATATATTTATATTCCTGCAACAACCGTAGAAATTGCATAGTTTTGCGTATGAACACGTTACAATAACAAACATCGCACGATATATGTTATGTTACATTTATAACACAACATCCGCGCTGCGCACAACAATTACTACTCATAATTCACAAGTTTAAAACTAGACATTTCTGACATTTTTCCGCAATTATTTTATACTAGCGGTGCCCAATTGATAGAAATTTCACCATAATTAATTAACATTCAATAAGATTTTAGAATCTATAGTATATAATAATAATAATAATAATAACAAAGCCTTTTATTCCCATAACCATCCAGAAGTTGGACAAATAAATTGTTAGTATTTTTTTTTCCTTATGATCTATTTGGTACTATTACAATTATAATTATACTATTTGTGGATATAGACCCCTCTTTGGGTGAAGGCCTCCTCCATCTTTTTCCAATATTCTCTCGTCTCGTTTTTTGCTATACCTAACCAGTCTCTTCCTATATAGTCCACAATATCATCAGCCCACTATATACATATCGAATCTATAGTATAGACAAATATTAAATAAAATATTATGGCAAACAATATAATTCTATTCTCAATTTCATCACAGACTTTAAGAATAAACAAAAGAGTAGACATACATATATTATGAAATACATTGGTGTGTGTAATGTATTATATTGATTTAAAAAACAGGTAGACTGTGTATAAAGTTATCTACCATTAACTCGCCCATTGCAGCTAGCCCCAAAGCTTTGTATCCATTGATATATGGATGAGATATGGCAGTGTAATTATAGAATCCAATTTATAGTAAATTGGACTCTGTATTGGGTATAAAACTGTCGCCCAAATAGTATGGTAACTTTTTTAATGTAATTGGAATGCTAAGCTGACAGACCATATGGCGGTGAATGGCAACCATTGCCTATATACATGAAGAGCGGAAAACAATGTATACCACATCATGCCTATACATCGTTTTCCGAAGGTCCAATATGTTATGCTCTTATAAATTAACTGTCAATTCACATTTCTGAACATAATTTATAAATACACTGAGTGATAAAAATTTAGTCCAATTATTACATGCATATATACCTCAACGAACATAGTAAGAGAATATAGGATTTTCTTTGATGAATATTAAAACTTCTTTATTTAGTAGGTGTAGTTATATGGTACAAAAGAAGATTTGATCTGGGGGTGACAGTGTTTTATTAGTGATGTGGACTAGAGGTTAGATTGCCAATAATGTACTATTTCAGGTTGACCTGCTCATGGTCACACTTAGAAAACATCATGATTATTTATGAATTCGATACACCAACTGGCTTCAAACTAATGACCTTGGTGGTCTAGTAGCTTCATTTCTGATGGATGCGGATTCATAACTTCACAAGATGTAAACATTTGTTTACATAAAAAAAATTAAGTATTTCTAGCAGTTGTCTACCTCTAAGACAAATTCTGCTAACTTTGGGACTGATTGGTGCTATGTGAGTGCTCAGGGTCAGGATTATTATTATAATCCTATCATCCACCACTGAGATCCTGCCACCTAATACCATCTACACAAACAAGTCTAGCATTCTATAATCATATATTAAAAATACATACTTTAATTAGACTCTTACCTCTAATAAACTTTTAAAGTATGGACTACACGCTGACAACACCATTTTATGTGCTTTACATGTCTGTCCTTCACAAGCAAGTGTTACCTGCAAACATATAACATTGAATTATATATTGTTTATGTGTAATACTTTAGTCGACAGAAATAACACATAATATGACAGGATATTAGATAGCATCAGTCCTATCCTCATCACATGAACAAAGTCTTTGGTAGACTGATAACATGATTAAATGTTAGACTACACTGCAGTATTATATTAAAACTGTAAGTTTATAGATTTGTAATGACAACAAATGTTAATTCTAATCAAAGCTGAAGGATTTGTTTAGTTCCTTGAAAAATGAATTTAAAAATTTTCTGCAAAAGTAAATAAATTATGACACAATATCACAGAAATATAATAATTTCATATTAGTTGTAAGTACATAATTAGTTTTAAGTATAAACTGAACAAGATTGACATAGAAATGTAGACTTGAAAGTAATATTCAAGTATTTCAAATTACACAAAAAATATTATTTTTGTATGTTAAAATTAAATATTGTAATATAAATATTTTAGTTTAACCTTAAATATCAATTAAGGTGTTTAAAATGCTTATAAGTATAGATTAAATTAAAAATGGATCAGATAATGAATCATTGAGTAAGAAATATCCAAACATTTAGATTTATAAGATTAGCAGTATATAATTTTTAAGATACATAGATTAATTATAGCGTAAAAAGCTAGTGTAGCGATAATCTACTTAGGTATACTTAATTTGATCAAACTTTGATATCTGATATCCACATTTTATATTTCAGACTTTTCTTAAATATTTAAGACTTAATAACATAAATGTAATATAAATGAAATTTAGCCAGTTGTTAGAAGAGCTAAATTTATAGATAATTGGTAATTTGTTAAAAAAAAATAAAGCTTTCAGAATTTGGAGGGTATGCAGCTAAAGTCAGATACATTACTCACATCTGTAAAACTCTTTTCGTCTCTCAGGTGCCTGAACGATGTCACCATATTTGTTTGAAAATCGTTCCATTTTAAGAAAAACTGCTGATCGCCCATATTGGATGTTTTTTTTTCTTCTGCAAATAATATTTACATGTGCACATACAATTAAAGTAAACAGTTATAATAAGCAATAAAAACGGCTTAATTTAATCATCTAGTACATTGAAACATATTGTAAACGAAAAAACGTTAATTGTTTTAAATGATCACGTAAAAAACTGTAATTTACATCTACGTCACTGTATGTGGAATGTATAGAAAACAAGCTATCACTAAGTGTATTCCGCTAATATATTATAAGGTTAGTACTCACTAAAATTAAATTGTATATGTATTCAGGGACAATGTGTATTGTTTCCCAACACTTGTCCAAAGTTAAGCAACCGTAACTCAAAATAAAGACGCTGCTAGTTTACAAATTAGAGATCTTTCTTTCTATTTCTTGAAATTACTTCAGTCAGTCAATGTCAGTGTTGCCAAGATGATGTTAAAATTAACTCAAAGTGTCATTGAAATTTGAAAGTTGTTATCGGAAGTGCGAGGGCGTGTGAATTAAGGGAGATAAACTGTACTTGTATGTAAGGTATACTATCTATACGTTATAAAACAGCTATTGCCCACAATGCCACTCAATGTGTATATTAACTATTAAGTTTTAAATAATAAAACAAACCCTATTTAACATTTCGTAACAAAATATTTAAATTGAATTATTATTAGTGATACAGAATATCTCTTGGTTTCAATACATTTTTCATATTTATTGAAGATGGTGTGGTTGACAAATAATATATTTATTTTAATTAAAGTACATAATGAATAAAAAATAAATGTCTCGTATACAAAGTAAATATTCACTACCGTTTCCTAGGCAATCAACCTTATAATGGTAGCACTAACGTGTCCTCAGACAGTGATTGGCTAGTATATTCGATGCTATTTTATTAGGATGCGTTCAAGCAATAAAATAAATAAGACATTATTATATTATAAAACATATTATTATTATTATTAACCAAAGCAAGAAATCGTTAACAATATTTTATTGAATCATACTAGTGGTAATATTTTAAACAAATATGTAATATATAGAGCTAAATTAATAATTTAGAAATTTTGATGGCATTTGTGTATTGGCGCCATCTATTAACGAGTAGTAGTAATCTCAGCTGATTAGTTTATTGTTGCTTTAAAGCAGCGGATTTTTCTTTAGAAGATAAATAAAATAAGCCATGCAGTTAAATTACTAAACACATTCTCTATCTAAACTCTTTTTACAAATACATTTAATTATGGATCATTAAAGTATCATAAATTTAACTGTTTCTTTGGGAAAGTTGATTAGTTTCTTCATTAGGTACTATGATTGAAATTAAGCTAGGTGAAAAGTCATGTGCTATGAGAATGAAAAATATAGTATCTTAGATACTAATATTATAAACGCAGTTTATTGGATGGATGGATGAAAACTTTGCAATACAAACAATTTCATGCGGGTGATATCGCGAGAGCAGCTAGTAATATTATTTAGTTCTACCACAGATAATATTACATAGTACTACAATGTGGAATGTACCTTACCTACTGTTTACAGTTTTGCCAAGTTTCATTTAAAAGACAAAAAAAAAACATTTGTTTGGCTGTTTTTTGTTTTCGTACTTATGTAGTAAAATCCTTTCGATGGCCTTGGCGCTTTACTTCTGGTGGTCGCGGGTTCGATTCCTCGCACGGTGCAAACATTTGTATTAATGAGTATGATTGTTGGAATCGATTTGGATTTTTTCAATATGTATTATGTATTTAAAAAAAGATATCTGAGTATTTATATGAATTGTCTAGGTATCCATAACACAAGCTCTGCCTAGCTTGAAAGTAGATGGCGCTGTGTTAATTGTCTAGGGTTATTATTATAATTAGCGATTACTTTGTTAATATATATATATATATCTATATATGTAGGTAAGGGTTCTAACTATTCTCTTTGATATATATAACTGCTATGTTTTGTACCAAACTGTATTAATTGACATACCTATTTATTTATCGACTTTAATGTTATGTTATATTTAAAATGGATTTTTCATACTTTATAATTTTCATCTTAATATTGTTTACTGTTAAGCATATTAGGATATACGAGGTATTTATATAGGGTAGAAAATAAAACGTGTAAATAATTAATAATACACCATTATGTATTTCACAAAAACGTTTTTAAAACGACACTCATATTGCATAGAAGTAAGAGAGGCGAATAGGTGAATAGTAAACATTTCACTATAATAATAAGTATATTAGGTACTATTAAATCATGCGTATGATTATGGTAAAAATTATTTTATAATTATTATAATTATCTTAAATATTAGAGCGGTTTTAAAACACACGAACACTACATCGAAAGGCCAAGCGGTGTTGCCACAATTTCCTTATATTAATGTCTTATCATTAATTATATTATAAACTAGTTTCGTACTATTAACTGAGCCTGCGACTTCGTTCCAATGCGACGTGGTATTCATAATAAATTAGCTAATAACTTTTTGTTTGTAAATCAATTATAATAAAACAAACACAAAATTTTAAGTTCAATACATCACAATTAATTTGTGAAAACTGCACCTGAATCAATTAAGACGTTTTTTAGAATAACTTGAACTATTTAAAAGACAAAAATTCTAACAATAATTTTCTGTCGCTCAGTAATAGTTTTTCATACATCTTCCATGTACAGACAGATATTAGTTACATTTTTATTCTATCTATAGATAAAGACACTAAGTAGATACCTATTTTATTTTAATATGTAACTCGTAACACATTGACGACAATAAAATACTTTACACCGTCTCTTTTCCTATACAATTCATCAATTTCACCAATCATGAGATATGTATAGCAAAAATTACAGTTTCTAAGTACAATAAGTATATTCACTTAATATCAAAATCGTTGTATTTAAGTATAATTGACATAAAGCAGGAATTTTTTCGATGCATTAATACAATAATTAAATTACTTTGGTATACAGCGTAATAATAATTAATAACTAAGTACTTAATAATGATTTTATAAAAACCTTTGGATACAACGTAAGTACTTCTACAGACTCTATTCTTTATTATTGCTCTATAAATCTATGATTCTAAACAATACAGATGTATTTGCAATAGTTTCACTTAATCCTTTAAATCTACTGCACTCTATATGACGATGATTGATCTGTCATTTATTAAATGAATTTTAAATTACCTTATTCGAATCTTAGAAATGTATGGTCATGGCATGGCATTCGGATAAATTACTTGAAGAAATATCTAATTCTTTTTTTAAATGAATGTTTGCATTTAAATAGACTGTACTAACATTAAATAGGCATGATATACAGTTACATACATTATAAAGTTATCTATATTTATTCTATGTAATAGGTATATTTAAATAATTATAATATGTGTCTTATATAGCAATATCATGTACAAAGCATGTTGAACTTAGGTATATTCTAGCGTATGATTGAGTTTCACATAACGAAACTGTTTTATTATTATAATTAATAATTTAATTCTAATTTTAAGGTTTTTAAAACCCATACAAACATAACATTGCCGCACCAAAATATAAATATATATATGTACTTAATATAAAAATAAAAAAAAATGGAAAATACTAATATACGTCTTTGAATAAAATCTTCGGTACCAACAAATCATAAAAATTAATTCTCTTATAATAATTATTATCTAGCATGTTCGGGTAAAACGTCCACCGAAAATGTATCGCTCTAAATTTATACACACAACTCGTAAATTGTATTTAAGAGTATAAGAGATCTTAGCCGTTGTCCTTACATAAATTACATTTATTTTCTAGTTTTCAATAAAAGAAATGCCATGAATTTGAGCAAATAAAATATCTATACACTATTTTAGAAAGACCTAGCCCTACAATACAATAGTCATAGACAAACAATAAATAGAAATAGTTAAGAGTGACACTAAAGAAAGAATTATAAAGTGCTATTCTATTTTGCTATATTTTTTGGTCTAACTGAAGCATTAAATGATTGAAATCGAAGTGCATATCCACTAATATCAGTACTATAAATTTATTAACTTACTTTTAATGTACTCGCTTACTGCTAACCAAATCTAAGCACTTATGAACTATTCATTGGTAGGACAGTTGAGGTTTATTTATTAAAACGTGTAACAGAATTAATATACTATATAGGTGGCAAACAAGCATACGGTCCATCTGATGGTAAACGGTTACCGTAGTCTATGGACGCTTGAGATACCAGGGGTGTCACGTGCTCATTTCCGACTATTAAGAAACCGTATTATACCCTTGAAAAACCCCATGCTGCAGTCTCGTGAGAAAACCTCACGAGTTTGGTAATTTTATTTTATAATTACTTTAATTTATAGAGACCTATTGGAGTAAAATATCTGAATTATAAGTTTTATATCGTTGTAATAAGGCTTAAATCCCTATGATTCGATTTATAACACCGGTGGGTAATGTAAACCTATATATATATTTACGTATTCGAAAATATACTACTTTCTAAAAACTACTTTCAAGGACTGCGTTAATTCTGTTACATGTTGCCTTAATTTACCTATATTTAAGCTATAGACTGTCTGTCCTTAAGTAAAACTTATTTTGCATAGAAAACCTAACTATTGACATTTTGGTATTTTAGCTAAGTTAATTTTCGTTATAGAAAAAAAGTCTAAGAAATTGACTAGATAATTTTGGATATTTTTGCGAAAATTGTTTTTGGCTGAATATTATTAACTATTAATGAAATGACAGTGGAAAACAGTATAGTTGTGATCCTAGAAATATACGATAGCGGGAAAAAAACCTAGTGTAACGCGACTAGATGAAAATGCATATTTTACGTGACATTGGCTGACAGCTTTTTGGTGCTTTTCAGTATTACTGGCTTATTGAATTACCTTAACCTATTTAATATTGATATGAGACGACAAATGTTACTTAATCGCTAAAAATAAAACACAACACTATGTACTTTTTCTAACTGGCACTACAGAAAACATTCGTTGTTCAATACCCACTTTTATACAATAACGCTAATAGTGCTAAGGCAGAATAGGACGGTTTATACTTTTATTAAATTAAGGCAGCTAAAGGCACCTACGTATAGAATTCTAATATATTCATAAGCGATATATAGCTATATAAATTATTTACAACTACATTGACATACGAATAATAAATATATTGATACTTCAATTTAATATCTACTCGTTGATAGATGGCGTTGTACAGTTTTTTTCGGCCACCGACGTTTGAAATTGGAATGGCAGTTTTAGTCCTCGTGGAGCTAGGACAAGTCTAGCCGGCGTCACAAGGACTAAAGCGTACTCTCATTTATTCACTCCTAAGAATTTCGCCGCCTCATCAGGTGATGAGAGGAGTTTGTTGATGATCGTCTTGTCAGGGATACCTAATAGTTTGCCGATGAGATCGCTACCATTTTCACCGTCGTTTTCCGTTTCTGATGAGTATTTGCGCGAGCTCATGTCCAATTTCAGTTTCTTGTCGTAGGGCGCGGACGGCGGCGAGTTGTTGTTGTTGACATTACTAGGGATGTCGCAACCAGAACCGTCGTCATCCCGGTATCTAAAACTGCAACAAAAATATTGTAATTTAATACTTTGTACGAGGCATTTTCAGAATTTATTATTGTAATAAGTCCATTCAAATTACAGGACACAAGGGCATGTCACCCTCGAGTTAAGAAAGAGTATATGGTGTACTAGGACGTTATAATGACTATGGTGCTATTTATGAAATAGGCCACAGCGTATTTGTTTAGTTAAATATATAAAACAATCTGTCTAATCTCCGATGGTCGCGGCTTCGATTCCTCGCACGGTGCAAAAATTTGTATGATGAATATGATTGTTTGTATCGGTTGTTTGGTGTGTATATTATATACCTACACATGTGTATGTATTTACAAAAAAAAAATGTAAGCATTTACATCAGTTGTTTAGTACCCATAGCAAGCTCTGCTTACCGTTGGACTAGATGGCGCTGTGTTAATTGTCCAGGGTTGTTTATTTATTTATTATTATTTTATTTAAATACATACCCATTGGTAATATTCTCAGATTCGATTGGAGTGTGTGGTGGAGAAACTTCTTCATCATCAGTGATTTCATCTCTATGCTTCTTCCGGTGTCGGAGCATGCTATGTTTCAGGGTGAACTTCCTGTGGCACAGGTCACACGCGAACGGCCGCTCCCCAGAGTGGGTACGCATGTGACGACGTAAATCTTCGGCTGACCAAAAGCGGCGCACGCAGAAAGCACAAACTACCTGTAACAATGAAAAAAAATATATAAATATAGTTGTGGGCATTCTATGAAGTGTAATAAAGAAGTATTCACAATATTATGCACATATACTAACGGTGATTCCGCAAACGTTTTGCCATATAAATTAAAATCACTATTAAAAAATTGTGGTTGACTGCAGAAGGGTGAAAATTTAGGGTTGTATGTATTTTATAACACACATTCTTTTTAAATACTGATGTTACTAAAGAAGTTTCCGACTGATTTAAATATAAGTTAGATAGGTATTTGATTGTTGTGATTGTTAGGGCACAGTTAAGTCCTTTTAGGTTCTATGACCGGACTAATTGTTTATTAATGTTCTTAATCTTTAAGCTTAAAACTATTGATCTTAAGAGGCTGACCACTGGTGGCAAAAAAGTTTTTGGCGGCTGATTAAAAAAAAAAATAATTAATTATAATTTTTTACCCTTGTATATGGTATATCAACCCTTATAACTTAGGGGTATAAAAACTAGATCAATATATCGGTCAGGGAGTTTTCTATGTCTGTTATGATGTATTTATGATAAAAAATCTAATCAATTATCTAATACACATTACACAAGCTCTGCTTACCGTGGGACTAGATGGCGCTGTGTTAATTGTTCAGGGTTATTATTTACTTTAGAAAACAATATATATCTTTATTATCTATTTGTGATAATTATTTTTAGTGAAATCTACGTTGTCGCTGATATCATGACCCGTCAGCAAACATTTCGCAACTCTAGTGTCACCTCATGTTTGTTCGATGAAATTAGATACATAACACCAGATTTTTTAAATAAAACTGTTTCAGTTTATTGCAACTAATGCATGCATTGTTTTGTTCATCAATACTATAAATAATATAATATTAAAGTGCAAGTATGTCTGCCTGGCTAACTTTCGATCTGTTTGTTACCTTTTCAGGACAGAACGGCTGAACGGATTTTAATGAAATTTGATGTGAAGACATATTCCTTGTAGTCTCTTTGTCAGGACTGTTCGAGACTTATAAGACACATAACTAGTTCATAAAAAAAACTGTTGAATCCGGGCGGACGAAGTCGCGGGTAACAACTAGTATACAATTTGTTTTCAAAAGGAAAAGTAAACAATATAAATCAGGCTTAAGCCTATGTTTTGTAAGTGTCAATTTTATCAATTAATCTTTCAATAGTACGAGATTCATAATTATGCTCAACCTAAAGATAACAACTGAACTACATATCTATGTATAATAGGTATTATATCAATTTACTAGTCGATCCCGCAAACATTGTTTTGCCACATAAATTAATATACCTACTTATAAAAAAAATAGGGGTTAGTGATAGAAGGGTGAAAATTTAGGGTTGTATGTATTATTAATACCATATTATAAAAAAATTATCTAATAAATAAAAATTAAATGATAGGGTGGACAACCCTTATCACTTAAGGATATGAAAAATAGATAGTAGCCGATTTTCAGACCCATTTAAGTGTAATAAAATTACATAAAAAGTCTGTCAAGCCGTTTCGGAGAAGTATGGTAACTAACATTGTGACACGAGAATTTGATATAAAAGATTAAAGCTAACTCACCTTTCTGTTGGCGTGGTCTGGGAATTTGCCCCTGTCATCATCATCAGCACTCTCGCTCCGATCACTAGCTGCGTCTAACGCTCCCTTGCTGACTAGCTGCTCATATTCCACAGAATGCGTTGACGCCAGATGATTCAATGCTCCGCCTCTGTCTCCGAAAGATGCCTCGCAGAGATGACATTTAAAGACTAGACCTCCATCAGGAATATCATCATTCAAATCAGGGTTTGGAGATTCTGGCTGGGAATCTCCAGTACCATGTCTCGACGACATATGTTTTTTTAACGTCTCCATTGAGGAAAATGTACTAGAGGGGCACGAGGCGCATTTGAATGGTCTTTCTGGGACAGATCTTATGTCATTTGAAGGTTGAGGTGGGGAGACTGTATCGGGAATTGGTTCGGCCAATATGGCTCTTGCTGAACCTCCGTGCTTTCTTAATAAATGACGATCGCAGTTGGATTTTGTGGTGAAAAGCAGGGGGCAGTGCGGACACTTAAAGGGTTTCTGTCCCGTATGTGTGAGGACGTGGCGTCGAAGTGAAGACGACCAAGGAAACTTCCGGTGACAATACGGACATGATACTCGGTTAGGAGCTAAACTGTATGCAGACTTCTTTTTGGGTGGTTGATTTCCAGTATCTGATTCGGATCTGAAAAAATTTTTTATAATATTAATTTCGTAGTACAAAATTTGGTGCTGTAAATAAAATATTACTAAATATTTACCAATATAATAATCTAGTCCTAATATACAATCGATTTTAAATTACATAACGTAACTATTTCTATGTAATAATTAAATAACAAGTTATTTGGATAAAATACTTAACAGTTTTTAAATTAATCAATATAACTAACTAGACAATTAGACATTAAACATTATTGAAAAAACTTAAAAAGTCTCTTGAGTTACAAATTCTACAGTGGTAGATAGTTAAATAAATTCTGCTATACCCATGAAATTTAAAATATAAGTAACATTTAAATCAATGTACATAGTAAAGAGATTATGGTCTATATTACTTACTTATTTTCATCACTTCCAGAGTTATTTCCTTCACTAGTTGAAGCGACAAGACCTTCTTCATCTTCTTCTTCGTCGCTGCGCGTGGGTACTACTGGTATAGGCAAAGATTCTTGAATCGAATCAGTACCAGATTCAGCTTTTTCAGATATGTTTGAAGGTTTATTGATAAGATTACCAGCGATTTTCAGGTCGAAATCCTTACTGAGCTCCTGTTGACGAGAAGCCATTAAAATTTCGGCAGCTGCGCGATGAGCAGCAGAATGTTCATCAGATTTGTTATCTGTGTCCGGTTCTTCATCAATGATTAGGGTATCGTCTTCATCTTCTTCATTGTCAGCAACTTCATCAGAATCTCTGCGAATTGGCGACCGCTCAGACTGCTGTAAAGGACGTTCGAGGTGGCGTGCTAGAAGAGCATACTTTACACGATCAGTTAATGAATCAGGCGTTGTATATGGCGGAGGGGCTCTTGTAGTTGGTCTTCTTACGCTCCAATGCTGTGGATGTTGTTGCTTGACGTGACGTTCCATGTTTGAACGAAGAGTGAAACGAGCTGAGCACTGGGAGCATGAGAATGGCCTTTCCGTCCGATACCGTCTTTGTTTTTGTTTAGGCATAAGCACACCATTTTTAATAACCATTTTAACCGAATCTGATTGGGGAATGATATTATTACTCAATGGTCTAGGAGATTCTGATTGAGGCGATGGTAAAGGAGACACAGCCTGTGGTATTATGGGCTTTTGGTCTTCTTCTTCTGGCTCCTGTTTTGGTTGACTATCTTGGTCGCTTGCTACAAGTCGACCCCCCGACATGCTAAGTCCACGAATTATTTCTTTTTGTATACGCTGCTTCATTTCGACTAGTTCTTGTGAATCAGTTGGATGAGTAAAAAAAGAAGGCTGTAGAAAATAAGGATTAATTGGAAAGGATGGTGGTAACGGTAGTCCAGGCAGTCCTGGTACGGCGCTAGCATACAACTGCGATATATGAGAAGCATAAAAAGTAGGATCAAGTTTAGGAAGTGCGTTTTCTAGAAGTCTTTGGTGGGCATTAGCCCAAGATAATAGCCTTGTCTTTTCTATTGTTGATGCAGCAATAGCAGCTGGATCTGGTTCAAATGATGGTCTAGTTGGCGTTTTAGACTCATTATCGACATCCCGTTTCTTTTTACTAAGGTCAAGAACATCACAACTATTGTTATCACTAGTACTGAGATCAACTGGAGCTTCTTCATCATAGGTTTCCGTTTGGATATCATTTGCTTTGTATGCTGGAAGTTCAGGTGGCCTATATTCAGGAATCTGTGTCAATTGCCCAATACCTTTTACTTTTATTCTTGGTAGAGGTTGATCATTTTCTCTTATAGTTATAGGAGCTTCTGATAGTGATTTAGATGTTAGGGCTTGAACTGGATGTCTGTCAGAAATAAAGTTAGGTGTAAAATGAGTGAGAGGTGTATCTCGACCAGTATTGTCGTTGCGCCTTTCAACTTCCGGAGTATGGAATGCGAGCGATCTCTTCACTTCATCGCGAGCAAGTTTAGAATTTACTTCATCGTTATTCGGATCTTCTGATGGGTGATAGATTATAGAGCGCTTGACATCTTCTCTTGTAACTTTTGCATGCCGGTTTCTCAAATGTCTTTCACAATTTGCCTTTGTTGTGAAAGCATAATTACACACTGCGCATTCATAAGGACGATCACCATTATGTGTTCGCATATGACGGACTAAAGCTGCCTTGTCTAAAGAGGCATGAGGGCACATATTACACTGATATGGTCCAGGACCAGTACCGCTTAGATGTACTCTGTTATGTCCCTTAAGAGCTCTAAGATTGGGAAATTTAGCAGGACATAATCTACATGGAAATTCCCCTCGTAACTTCATACGTCGAAATTCAGCTGCAAAGTTATCTTGCGTCTCCTCTTGTTCCCGTTCTTTCACCACAGTATCAGGAGGTGTTAAAATAGTATTTTCTAACGGCACCCTAGTACCGGTCAGTCTTTCTAGAAGGCTGCCAGCAGATGTAACATTCAAAATAGATTGTATATCCGCTAAATCTCTAGCAGCATCGATGTGTCTCATACCATTGGTGAGATGTCCATCATCAAATTTAGGTGTAAAACGATCCATAGGGGGTGTTAATGTTTCCGGTATATTAAAAGAACGGTTCCTAAGATCCAATTTGGCAAAGAAGTCTTCCCGCCTGTCACGTTCTGGCGTGGGAATCCTAGTAGTACCAGTGCACGATTTTTTATGAACGTCCAGAACTTGTCTGCAAGGAAAATCTCTAGAGCAAACATCGCAACTATAGTGTTGTTCGCTAATAGAAATTCGATTACTCCGAGATATATCTGGAAACTTTTTGCTTGAGTAATCAACAAAAGCGTGGTCGTCGTAACCAGTTCTGGTGTCATCACCGTGTGCAGTAAATCTATGAATGTCGTAAGCATTTGCGGAATCGAACCTTTGCTTACATTTAGGACATTCGTATCTAGTTATTCTTTTATCCAGGGGAATAGGGTTCGGTGATGTTGAAGCTGCTCGCTTGCGGGCTCTTCTTAACTCATCTTCTTCACTCCTGTCTGATCGGTTGTCACTATCAATGCTGGTAGTTCTAGTAGTTCTGATGTCTTGTCTCTCGGCCATTTTCTCCATGTCTCGGTCTGTTTCAACTTTGGCTTGTGTGATGACCTCCTCTGTTTTGATTTCTGTAACAACGAAATTATACATTATAGATTACAATTGATTAAGTACGACTGTATGTTTGAAATGTGGCCTTTCATTTTACTATTCCAAGAAAATCCGACAATAGATGAGTCAGTGATTCATTTGTACTTTCGCATCAAGGATATTGAAATAACATAATGGGATGACAGTCATTGCGGTCATTTCCGATAATCAGCTAATAGATTTCGCTTAAAGTGTTTGGTATTAATCATTTCTAACCTGCTATATCTCTAAATAATAAATTATAGTTCTATTACACAGAAAATTAACACTGTGATAGTAAGCTGTCTCATTGTAGGTATATAAATTGTACTGTAGTGTTGTATGTTATAAATGTGTGCATTATTGTTTGCCAATAAATTTATCTCTTTGTAATAAAAAAAATTGCATTGCTATTAAAATATAATTATTGCTACTCTAATAAAGGTAGGTCTATAGAGCAAAAGTACTACTTTTTATTAAATTTGTTTATTGTACAGACATCGGCTCGGACATTATTTTTAAGTATGTTTAATATATATAGTACAAGTTGTTGTATATAGGCTATAAATTTCACTCGTGTGAAATTTATTGCCTATGTGTTATTCTGATGTATAGTATAAACTATATTATTCTAAAGTTTAATAAAAATCCATTCATTAGTTTTTGCGTGAAAGAGTAACAATCATTCATTCAACGCGCGAATCATCCAGACTCAAAAACTTCCGCGTTTATAATATTAGTGACACGTTATATTAAAAATATGTTTAATTTTCCATCAATTAGTTTGCGAATCGTAACAATTACGCAGTATCTCGTCAAATTGCTTATTTCAACAAAGTCGAGTGACAAATATTTTTTTTAGCAAGATGATTACATTTTGTATTGAATAAGTAAAATTCAACACCGCTGTTACAGTATCTGTTCGATTAATTAGAAACGGCTGAATTGTCTTTATAACTGTTTTCAACGGCTGCTTATATAGATAGGGACATCCGGTTTGCTCCGTTCGTATTACGCCAATCACGCGTTTTGTTCAAATTCTTAAGTCTAATTTTATACCGACATTGAAGACGAGGTTTGATAATTCCATTGTAATTTTTATAATAATAATAATCTCAGGACAACTCACACAGCGCCATCTAGTCCTAAGTTAAGCTAGCTAAAGCTTGTGTTACGGGTACTAGTGTATACATACATAATATACATAGAAAACACCCAGACTGATACAAACAATCATACTTATGAATACAAATGTTTGTGCCGTGCGAGGAATCGAACCCGCGACCATCGGACGTAAAGCGATGTGCTAGACCGCTAGACCACCGAGGTCGTCAAGTTTTATGTCTCATCTTTGACATTTCAACGAATATAATTCGTAGATTTTATCAATAGACGAGGTCGGTAGTCTAGTGGTTTACACGGCCTTGCTTCCAAAGGTCGCGGGTTACCTATACAATTTTACCCCCGATCCGAACGATCCCCCGTCCAATTCAAACGGGGAGCGATATTACGACGGCCTGAGCCGAGGTTCGAACCTCTAGCGGTGCCCTCAGACTAAAGTCGTATCCGTCAGGCAGGAGTTGGCCTTCAGCCGCTCCATAAGTCCTTCCGCGAGATTGGAGTGCCATCTGCACTCGCCCCCTAACGTCCGGTGAAGCTGTAAAGGCCAGCTGCGGCCAACAGCATTAGAGTTGTCCGAAAAAAAAACCAATTTTACTTTTATAGGTACGAAGATAGTACTAAAAATAACCGGAATACTTAAATGAATACCTAAAATTATGTATTTACGTTAAATTACATTTGCATCAATTAATTTGGTTATCATTATCACATTCATGCAATTTATTACGAATTTACAATTTCCATGTAATCAACATGAGGCATTGGCGTACACAATGAAATCTGAAAACGCATATTATGAATACGAATAATGCCTATATAAGCTTTTAAAGAAAATATTTGCGAAGAATCGGTATTACCTACGTCGTATACATACCTACTGCTTTATATTTTTTATGTAAATAAAATGACCAACAATGCGTACGAACACCTCGTGGTAAATGGTAACCGTCGTGTAGTTATATACATGAGCAGCACCAAAAACATGACGTAATCATGTGACACCCGTAGTACGACTTATTGTTACGTGTTGCCATTCCCGAGGACTAAGATGATATGCCATCGTAAATAAATTTATATTTGGATGTACTGCAAAATACTAAACAGTCTGTCGTCGAACTTACTTTAGATAATAAAGTAGGTACTCAACATTAAAAAAAAATTAACTTAGAGTTTTATATGTAAAGATATGAAAAAATAAGTCTCGGCTTACGTCGTCGTTTCGATTTATGTCGCGTATTTCCAGAACTTAACATGCTGTAAGTACGAGGACTGCCTGTAATTAAGTAAACTTACCAACTTTAATATGTTTCCATGAATCGCTTTCTATTTAATAATATTACGACATTCACCTTGGCAATGGTCAATTAATTCTTAAAAGTTCATTTCTAATTTGTGAAGATATTGTTAAAAGAAAATGAATGTAGAAGATAATCTATCGGAATACATTACTGAAAACCGCATTTAAATCGTATTAGCCGTCTTTGAGATTAGTTCGTACAAACAAACCGTAAAAAATTCTAACGATCATTGTTTTTTCCATATATCTTCCATGCACAGTCAGTTAGAATTTGTCAATTATATGTATAGACTAGCTATTTTGTAGATATGGAATTAAACATTTATTTATTAAAATAAATAACATTTCTCAAAATAAAAGTATCATAAAATATTCCTTATAACATTAGATATCTGTGAGTGAAAAGTTTAGCGAAGTTTAGGAAGAACAAACAGCCAGACGGTAAACATTATTAAATTATTTTTTTATGTAAGTACCGTATATACATTTATATGCATATGCTACATAAAATGTTAAAAACTGTTAATTTGAAATTACAAACCGATACTTTATTTTTTTTATTTATTTAAATTAAACGACTATGTAGTGAATCCGTGATTTTAATATCAACAGTTAAAACCTATCACATAACCGAGTTCATTCAAGTTCATTTACGGAGAAAAGGTGTGACATACATGCGCGCGCCGTGACTTCCTCCTTCCCGCTTATACGGAATTTAAATCGACCATCCCGAGGAGTCCTGGCTGTATCCAACCATAGACAAATAATTTTGAGTCTTAAAACCATAGACACAAGAGCTGCCATCAAACAATAGTGTAACGGGTATAGCATATTATAAGTTTTGATTTATATGGCGAGGACGTCGCGTATACCGCTGCTTTCTTCCACACTCCAATGGACGTCAACGGTACTCAATTACACCGTGTTGTATCTTCAAGCCCTCATTTATGGTGTCGCCATTGACAACTATATGTTTACTATTACAGTTGCGGAGTGACAATGTAATATCTACTTTATGAGCATAGTCATAAAGTAACAAATGAGTTAATACAATTGCGTGTACAGTTGCTTGCAAAATGCGACAACAATCCATTGTCTAGAAATTGATAATTCATGTTCTCCGTACGGTCATTTGGTCGGACTTGTTTCGCATCTCTGAAGAAAGTTAATTATGTATTTCGGGTATGTATTTTTCGAAAGGCAAAATTGACCAGTTACAGAGTATGCGAATACAAAAGTGTTGCATCATGATTTTAAGTTGAATTTTCAGTTTTTGTCACAATAATGTAGGGTTAGCATATTGTATGCTTATATTTGGACTCTTTTGTAACATGCTTGTAAATGGTCAAATGTAACAAATGCATTTTTATTATAACAAACTACTTGCCACCCCGGCTTTGTTCGGATGTTCATAACTTTGTGAGTACTGTATAAGTATATAAAAACAATGCCTAACGAATAATAATAATAATAAATGAATAACGTATTTTTCAAACAATAATATTATTTATATATACATGTACATAAAAAGCATTATTTTACTCATCTATGTAAAAGAAAGTAAACTTTAAATTAAAATTCTATACCAAGCCGTATGGCGCGTGGTAATAATAGATGATACTCCTTTAATGACAAAATACTACTAAAATCGTTCCAATATCCCTACCGTAATTTGATAAAGGATTGTTATTAAACAATCAATTAAAATCTGAAACAAAATTGCGATTTTTTTATTTTAAGCAAAATCAATCAGACTATATAAAAAGTATACCAACACACGTAACTATTTCTGTGCGGGCATGCGCGGCCATCTTGACCAAAGGCTGCATCATTAATGCAAGTCAGGAGCGAGCCTTCCGCACCGATTTAACGGTCTCGCTATGATGTTATGATCATTGGTCGCCGCTGAATATCATAAAGAGGACGAGGTGCTTTCATTTGTCGGACGAGTAACAGAACCTCTGTTTAAAAATGGATGGAGAATACCAAAACGGTAGGAAATGGTACACTTTGTACAAAGTTGTCTCCGTACCAATGTCTCACCTTTTTCTTACGCCAAACAGCTTACTTTGATGGATCATTATTGGGTGTGGAATATAATAGAGAACGAGGTGCTTTCATTTGTCGGACGAGTAACAGAACCTCTGTTCAAAAATAAATGGAGAATACCAAAACGGTAGGAAATGGTACACATTGTACAAAGTTGTCTCCGTACCACTGTTTCACCTATTTCTTACGCCAAGTAGCTTGCTTTGATACACATGAAAGATGTCACGAACTTCACGGACATTGTAATATGTCTGTGGAGCTGTTCATTAAAAATGAGGATAGTTAATTTCCATTATCAATTATTATTTGCCTAATAAATACTGCATTTTCCACCAAACAGTTTGATTTGATAATTGATATTAGTTTTATTACTTGAGGATATTAGCAGACATGAGTTTCAGGTGTCATTAAAGGAGTATCATCTATTATTACCACGCGCCATACGGCTTGGTATAGAATTTCAATTGGAAGTTTACCTTCTTTTACACAGATGAGTAAAATAATGCTTTTTATTTACATGTATATATAAAT